CTTTGACGAACAAAAAGCGTCTTAGCGCTCATCCGGTTTCGATGGATGGCCGAGTTCTGCCAAAGAGCCATTCCTTTCGGCTGGTCGGAGTCCAGATCACCGAGGACCTGATCTGGCACGAATAGCAGCAGCTGCTGGGAAAAAGCTAGGGTATTTGTTTAGGGCTAAGAAGTACTTTTCTCTGCATGACCTTCTCACTCTATACAAGGCCCAGATAAGGCCTAGCCTGGAGTTTTGCTCACACGTTTGGGGTGCTGCCGCCCCTACTACATTGTCCATGCTCGATGCTGTCCAGAGGAGGGCGGTCCGACTGATCGATGACTCTTCTCTAACAGACAGTCCCTTTTGCACCGGCGAGCCGTTGGCGATCTAGCTCTTTTCTACCGCTAAACCAACGGGCTTGGCTTCTCAGAGCTCTCGTCCATGATGCCGCCGCGCGATGTACCTGCCAGGCAGACCCGCCTGACTTTAGCGTCCCATCCCAACCATGTCGAACTTCGTTCATCCAGAACTGGCCGATACGACCGCTCCTTTGTCCCGAGGGTGTCGAGATTGTGGAACAATCTACAAGAGCAAGCTTTTCCCAGTTCTACTAACCTTAGGCAGTTCAAAAATCGCATTAACAAATTTTCTTTGGGATCATCATAGCAGCCGCGGTGTTCTGGCATTTAGGCTTCTGCCTGCGCGGCTGCTTAGATATAAAAAAAAATGCACAAACAGGCCCAATATGAACGAATTTTAAAACATCACTTTTTTGTGCTGTTTGCTTCAGGTGAAGTGCCCCCAAAAGTTATAAATTATAACAATTTATTATCACGATTCTGGCTTTCGCATACAATTTGTAACGATTTTTCTTATAGTAGGACACTATTTTAGTAGATTTAATTCCAGATTTAGACTGCAAATAGTCCGGGGTGGTCAAAAAAAAAAGAGAATAAAAATTAGATTTCAAAAACCAAAAGGTTATTGTATTCCAACGGAAAATAAGGTTAATCTTGTGTATGTCTATTTCGTAAATTCGTAGTTCCAAAAATATATGAGAAAATGGTTTTTCCTTTGCTTAAATGTTCCATACGATGTCCATACGGCTTTTTTATCAGATCCTCAGTTGGCCGAGGCGGATATAGGCGAAATACTAAAAATATGACGCTGTCATCGCCATGCCCAACTAAGATTTCCATATCGCAATTATGACGTATATTTTGTTTGTCACTTCCTCTCCGAAACCCTTAATCTTATAATCCACCCTATTAATTCATTTTTCATAACAGCATACTCCTGCTCAGTTGGTGATCCTATACTAATTTTTGTCATCGTTTTTGTCGATATTAAAAATGATGAGTAGCATCGAATAATTTTCCAAATCTGACGTGAATAACTACTGCAAACAAATAACGACGTAAGTACCAAGGGAGCCGTTCAAAAATGATGGGTACATAATTATCAGGTATATCGCAAAGTCCATATTCCCAAGGTTTTTCATTTCACTCGCATTTTGCCGTGCTTTGTTGGTTCATTAATGTTATTTGTTTTTATTTAGAATCCATGACAATGCTTGAATAGGTAACTCCAATTAACAGGCAGGATAGGAAACAGACAAACAACCATAACTCATTCAACAGTTAACAAACACCTTCTAAGATCTGATCGTCCCATCATGCATTTCTTGGCGGAGACAAAAATCTCAGATCCCGCATCAATTAACCATCTTAGCTTCCCAAATTACGAGGTGCACTCCAATCTGAGAAAGACATTTTGTGGCTTCGCCTCAACTCCAAAACATCCCCCAAATTTATTTGATGCCTTTATCGCTCTCCCTCGGACCATAACTGGGATGACCTACTTGAATACCTCGCTGTTAAGATCGACTTGCTGAACATCAATCACCTCGCTTCAGAGGTAGTTCTCCTCGGTGACTTCAATGCCCATAATGGGCTCTTGTCGGGCGCAAACGAGGGTCTAAGACCGACCCTTATAACTACAAGCTTATAGATCTGCTTTCTGTAAGTAAGGTGATGGAGAGGTGCGTAAATCGCGAGCTTCTGTACTACCTCGAACGCCACGGCTTGATTAGCAGCACGGAGTATGGTTTCCGTCACCAGCGATTCACAGGCGACCATCTAGGACTGGATCTGGCACGAAAACATCTCGTCAATAGCAGCAGCTGCTGGGAAAAAGCTAGGCTATTTATTTAGGGCTAAGAAATACTTTCCTCCAAATGACCGCCTCTCTCTATACCGACTATATTATCCATGCTCCATGCTGTCTAAAGGAGGGATCCGACTGATCGATGGCTCTTCTCTAAGGCCCATATCGTCAGTCGTCCCTACAATTGTAGGGCGCGTTTATGGCCTCCTTGATTGTCATACTCCTTTCTTTCCTTCAAAAATTTCTAGATTACACGTCCCGTGTCAGCGTCAGCGCTCTCCTATTGTGAAGATATGTTTTCTTTTTAAATTGTAGGAAATTTCAGGCTGATAAAACATGTCATAACTCAAAAGCAAGCACAATTTGATGCAAATAGATGTTTGTGACATAACCTCAAAATAGAGTTCTGACACGGAGAAGTAGAAAACTATGACAATCAAGGAGGCCATAAAGGCGCCCTACAATTGTAGGGATGACTGACGATACGGGCCTAACAGACAGTATCAAGGCACCGGTGGGCTGTTGGGCTCTCTTCTACCGCTACACCAACAAACTTTGCTCTTTCGAGCTCTCCTCGATGTGCCTGCCAGACCGACCCGCCTGACTTCGGCCTCCAATTCTAACCGTGTCGAACTTCGTACATCCATAATTGGTCGATACGACCACTCTTTTGTTTTACTAATCTTAGGTAGTTAAAAAATCGCATTAACAATTTCCTTGGGATCCTCCGCGGTGTCCTGGCATTTATGCTTCTGCCTGCGCGGCTGCTTCGGTGTAAAAAATGTTTTTGGTGGAACGGAGAGCATCAGGTTCACGAACACCCTGACACACCTTACGCATAACATAAAGTCGGGGACGCCGCGTAGGGAGATCCTAACTAAAAAAAAGGACACAATAGTTTAATTCAACAAATTACGTAAAAATTTGGCAGCTAAGAGATTTCTATGTTTGACTAAACTAGATAGATTGTACCTACTCAGAAGTATGTCATTGCTTATGCTCCTTTCCGAGTACAGTCGATCATCCTTAAACCACACAAAAAGTCTTTGAATTCTTTCAATGAATTGTATAATAAGCCGCGTACCAGATAATCGAACAATATTCTAAAATAGATCTGACAAAAGCGTTAAAAAACAAAGTTAATCTATTAGAGTTAATGAAGCGCCTACTGTTTTTGATAACAAATCCAAAATTTTTATATGCTTCAGCTATTATTATATTGATGTGGTGAACAAATGAAAACTTTGGATCGAATAGCACGCCCAAATGCTTGAAATTATCATCACGCCTAAAAAGTCTGCTACCGATTATTAATATTAACTAACATTTCTGCTTGCAACTATCAAAACTGAAGTTGTTTATGTTTTACGTTCACGATGGCAGCAACAATGACATGTAGACATGAAGGAGATGACATGCGCAGAAACTGAAATTAATTACCTGCGCAATGTAGATACGAGATAGATGAGCAGAACCTCAAATTCAGTTCCTGCTCAATGGATATAGAGGTAGCTCGTCTTCATTTTCTACGCTTTTGGCTTCAGGAATTGCCCTCCTGTTTCAAACCTTTATGGGAGCAAGATGCAAATAAACCCTATTTTAAGAGTATTCATCACGTTTTGACGTCTACTGAGGTGAACAGCTGATCAGCAAGTGACATCTTTGTATTAGTCTGTAACGTAACATATGTAGCATCAAAAAAACAAAACAAAATACGGCCCTGTGTACGGTACGATATGTGGAATTTTGAAATATGTCGTAATGGATACTCATGAAAAAGACAGTAGCAGCTTGGCAGATATAAATAAGGTTATGGAAAATGCCGAAATAAAATTGTCAATCTAACGGAGCTTGTCGGATCTACACTAATGCTTTCCTTATCGTGTATAGCTGAGCATTCAGCAACCCAGCACGTCGACACTTATTAGATGTGACCCCTTATTTTCTTCTTCAGTGACTGTAAACATCACTGGAGTCCATGTCGGTATGGAAGAGTAATACTAGCGCTACTACGACCACTGTACTGTGCCATTACCGCCTGTTTTATTTACCACGCCTACTGGCGAAAGTGAGATATCATGTTTTTTGGATGTTATATGACATCACCAAAAACCGTGTCACTCATTTCCGCCGCTCTATGTCTGTAGGACTGTCCGCTAATCTTATAATCGCCTATAAATGGAGAAGTATCGCTCGGTGGCGGCAGTAAAAAGGCTTATAACGAAAAAAGTGAAAATCGCTTAAACTTTGTTTTTTTTTACGTTTCAGAGGATCCTGATCATTTTTGAAAAAAGATGTAGAGCCAAAAAAACTTGAGGGTGGTAATTCTATGCACCTATTAGACATATTTCACACATCATAGATTTCTCTGTACATTAGCCCTGAAAAATATTTTTCGGAGACGGATCGCTACTGGCGTCGTGCGCCGACCATGATGAATGTTCTGGTGTCGTAGCGCACGTATTTCTGCGACGCAACAACATAGTGTTTTCTATATTCTGACCCCTCTACCCCGGTGCCACGTCTGATCGACTTTATCGGAGAAAGCGTTGATTCCAGCTGCACTACCGGTTGGGCACGGAAATAATGTCTGTGGACCAATTGAATGGACCTGTTTGACTAACTGGTTTTCTCAGAGGTTCTAGTTTGTGTTGTTAAGTACTGATAAAGGCGTTTCGTGGGAAGTGCAGAGTCAACCTACTTGACGCCATTTTTTATATGAATATGCAGTATAAAATTTGCTTGTAGACAATGCGATAAAACTAATTCCATCTTAAGTGATATTTTCACTATCGCACACAACTTTTAATGTACTATTGTTCTCTATTAATCTTAACAGAGAAACACGAACCCTCCTTTTTGCTTGTCTGCGCCGAGTATTTTTTTCTCCATTCACACATGAAATACCTGACTGTAGCGTTTTTCTTTTGTTTCTATCCGTAGCTGTCCTCGTCGATGTGCTCTTGTGTGAGAGTGTGCGCTTCTTTCCTTATTCACAGTCTGTTCAGAACGTGTTTCTGTGATCTTTGTTCAAACGTGGTAAGCTTAATCTGGTTGTTGGTGTATGTTACATTGTGAAGCGGCTCGCTTTTGGCTGCTACTGTTACGAGACCAGCTGTTGCTAGACACTTTTTTATCGCAAGCTTACGAGGTCTGTAAATTAAGCGATGAGACTGATTTTTTTTGTTTCACTTCAAATAGTCGGTTACAGCCGTTTGAACGTTTTCGACTGTCCCAAGATCAGTTTCCTTGAGATGAATTTTCAACTTCCGGAAGAGAAAAAAATCACAAAGACTTAAGTCAGGTGAATAAGGAGGCTGAGGAGCCACATGAATGTTTTTACTGGCCAAAAACTCGTTTATTGACATTGCTGTGTGACAAGGAGCATTATTGTGATGCAACACCCAGTTGTTCATGATCTGATGAACGGTGGTTCGAGTCAAATTTAACTTTTCTCCGATCATTCTGACTCAACCGATGATCTGAACGTGCAAGATCCCGGATGCTGTCAATAAATAATTTTAACGGTTCTTGAAGATGAAGACCTTCCGCTTCATGGTTCATCTTCAATCGACTATCTTCCTTCTAAAAATGACTTAAATCACCGAGTTCTTGACATACCACTATATTCGAAGGGCTGTTTAGCAAGATTTTCCGTTGCACTGTGCCCAAGTCTGAAGCAAAACCTGATAGCACACCGTTGCTTGAAATTGTTGTCACTCATTTTTAGAACACAATAGAAAAACTGTTTCACACCAAAAAATCGCTAAGTACAACCAAATAACTCGAGCGAGTTCAAACTTGTACTGAAGGCGGAACGCTACATTGCCAGTCTCATCACTTAATTTACAGACGTCGTATCCCAGTTTTATGCAGTAGAGTATTGCCGTTGGCCATAAAAACACGGATACCTCAAGACGAAAGCTGAATACTCTATGTTTGAAATACTGTATACTGAGTATTATAAAGTTATAGGAAGCCAGATGGTAGAGGACTTCATACCTCTCGAAATGAACCCCTATATGTGTTAACCGACATTCAAATTTCAGGATTTATTTGCACTTTTGTGAATTTTTGCAAAATATCGACCTCGAAATTGCAGTGTGTGGTGTTTATCGTGCTTAACTTGCTCGCATGTTTTTATTTCTGGGTGTTGTGGAAATGCATGCTTTAAGTGTTTTACGTTTATATAATACATGCAGTTTTATGTAGTCACTATTGATTTGAACGTAACAAACATGTTTTCAAAGTTTTCAATCTGGCAGCGTTCCTTATATCAATCTTATTCAAAGATTACGTTCATTGGGTTGGGCATGTATTTTATGTTTCTTTAGAATTAATTTTGTAGGAGTTTTTTTATCGAATTTAGAAACTGTGAATACGCCTGAATATGTTTAAATTTAGTTACAAAAGATCAACGTCCCAATTTTCAATCTAGCAATCCTAACTTCTATTATTGCGTCGGAAGTTTAGATGAGTTAACATAATCTACTCAACCACTATTATACGCCTTTCATAAATTTAATTACGGGTTTTGCCTTTGTTTGGCTCCCATCTTTCACCAAACTCTTCCGTCCACGATATACCGGGTATTTCAAATTCGACCCTCACCATTGGGATCTCGGAAACGGTAAGAGATACGAAGTCACTTAGATAGGGATACAGATGCGTATTCAGGGAACTAACAAAATGTCGCTTAGAAAGTGTGAAAATTCAAAATACTTCCGGCAGAGATGGAAAAAACAATTTTCCCAAAATCCAATTGGTTTTTTTTACTTTATTTGTAGTGGGATTTGAAAATAAATTTGACATTAACATTGCCACTTTTTCTCCTCTATAAGATGGCATAATTAGAATTTCAATATGACACTTCATCTATTGACCTACAGGATCAACCTTATTTTTTCTTATAGACGTCATATTGTATTTTTGCTCAGATGGATAGAGGCTTTAATTCTTGTTCCAAAAATGTATTAACGTGTCAGGCATTGTCATTTCCAAATCCTTAGTTATTTAAAAAAACATAATTTCCTAAGCTAGGCGTTAAAATTATCAGATAGTCATTTGTTTCGTGTACCAGATTTATCACAAAATCATTTTTATTTTTTCTACTGTAGAAGTTGGCGTGTTCAAATTTTTCAATTCGAGGTTGAAGATGGAGATCGAAAGCAGAGACGCCTAATTGAGAATTTCACTATGCCTTTTTGTAGAGAAGAAGGAGTGGCAAATTTTTAAATACCATTCCAAATAATAGCAGGATAAACAACTATTTTTGAAAAGTCAGGTATATGAAACAAATGTCTATCAAGGCCTACCTAGAAAATACATTTTTTTTTTCAAAACAACAAAGGTTTGGCAATGTATATGTTTAAAATATTATATATTTTTGGAATCAGAATTGAAAGGTCTATTCATCTATGCATCGTTCATTAGAAAAAATAAAGAGACGAAACGTCATATTGAGATCCTAATTATTCCAACTTGTACAGGAGAAAAAGTGTCGATTTTAATGTGTAACTTATTTTAAAATCCCACTACAAATAAAGAAAATTTGCTTTTTTCGTTTCTCTACAAAAATACTTTGGATTTCAAAACTTTCTAAGCGGCATGTTGTTAATTACCTAAATACGCAGCTTTTTCCCCATTTAGACAACTCTGCAAGAGGCTGCAGTGCCATCGGGACTTTGGTCGGATGGCTGCCGGGAAGGAGCCACTTTGTATCTCTTACCGTTTCCGAGATCCCAATGGTGAGGGCCGAATTTGAAACACCCGGTATATGAATCCAAAAATAATCCAATTCATTTTTAGTTGACGAACCTCTTTGATTCCCCTCAATTTACCATATAAATAGAGGGTGAAGATAAACGTAAATCCTCTTATAGATAAATGTATTTTTAGAATACTCTTATTTAGATTACCGTTGGAGCCTTTTAGCCAGTATTTATAGGCATTGATAAACGTATTCTGTCTGAAGATAGCCAATTATGTACGGTATTCTGGCGTCCAAAAATTTATCCTAGATGAAATTGTTAGATGCTGAGAGAGAATCCGCAAAATTAATGTTCTCACCAAATATAAATAATCTCATAAGGTGTGCGCTGTTGCTTTATATAAATACGTGCATTCACCTATCAAGCAATAATTAATAATAGTGAGGAAGTTATAACGGAAACAGAAAATTTTCTAAAATCAATATATTACAGCATCAAATCCATAGTCATAAAAGGGAATAGTATGTACCGAGTGACCCAATAATAAAGGAAACCGGCTTGACCTGGGGCTATCCGTTAAAAAATTTCATAACAAAAGTGTCCAAGGTAAATTGCTGGAAATTATTTTCAGGTTCCTAAAATGGCCGCGATTATTTTGCAAAAATGCGTAATTAACGTTCGGATTGAAGAACTGTATTATGTTGATTGCTCAATTTTCGAACTTGTTTCCTCAATGTTATTTTTATTTTGATTCGTTAAGGGTGGGGGAAGGATTGAATGTCATTGCAGAAAAAGTAACATAGCGTCTGTTTGGGTGCACCGATTTTCATGATCTTGGTTTCGTTTGAAAGAGCTTGCACCGGCGCTCCTTTATGACCACCAGATAGCATTTTATGGTTGTGACATGTTTTTTTTAATTCATCCGAAAATTCAAATACGGAAAGAGCATAAAAAATCCTATAAAATGTGAAAACCGCAGATCATCTTTATTTATGAAGATAAAATATACTTAAATTACAATTTTCAAGTACTACTAGATAAAAAAAACATAAGCTATAAATAGTTATGTAAAAGGTATCAATATGTTACGATTTCACGATATGTTTCTTTAGTTTATGTCCTCGCTGAAATGGTATCGTTATGACTTTTTGTTTGTCCAGATAATAACACAAAGTAAACATGGTATGTCTGCCTCCATTTATGATTCATGCATGATACCTTCTCCGTATTCCAAAGGTTGTATTCCGTAGTCGCACCCCTTTATCAATAGGAATGAGGTTCCGATTTTTTATTAACATTTGTTACAGTTAGTACTGCCATAAGCCTTCAACATATCAGCATATTTAATTAGGCATTATAACAACAACGAAATCAGGAACAACAAGAACAGCTGTACATTATGATAAAACAACAATAGTAACATCAAACGCAATTGCACTTCTGATTGCAGAGATAATCAAATCTCGAATTAGCTTGATTTGGGGGTGCACTCTTTTATCTATGAAAATGATGCAAATCAGTGAAAAGGTAGGATTAGGAAGACCCCCATGCAGAGTTAATTTTAGTTTCCGATACCTGGATTAAGACACTTTCAAGTCTGTGACTGTACGTTAATTGTCAAGATTTATAACACATGTAACAATAAACATTTAAATCAGTTCTAAGTAAAATTGTTTCCTTTCCCCGTCGAAATATTACAAGTGCTATAACCCTTGGCCATTAATATCCTAGTAAGTATTATGGTAGACCTGAATTGTACTTATTCCAGTTACCGTACATCATTAACTACAAATCTACTTGCATAAGGCGTATTCTTAAGCTCACCTGTTTCATGCTTTGCAATGGCTACCTTCATTATTCTCATCAAACGGTTGAAGTCATTTTGAGAATAGTTTGTAACTGATTCAAATTAAACGAAAATTTTATACTCATTGACCTTGAGCCTAACCATCCGTTTTCTCTTATTTTGACCATAACGAGTACATCTATGATATGTAGTATATAAGTTCAAAAAATTCCATCGAGTAGGTTGACTCTTCGCTTCCTACGCAATGCCATCATCACTTCATAAATGATTAAGTTCAGCGCAATTTTAATCATCTGAGAAAAAAGTCAGTTACGAACATGTACAACAGATGAATTGAATGGATTCAGTCAGTCAAGCAGGCCCATACAATTAATAGTCCATAATTCTTTCTCTGCCCTGCGGGTATAGTTACTGTCCATCTGAAGACGTTGTCCGTTTCCACATCTGCGCGGCACATGACTAATATATATATATATATAATTACCTGGGTTGGGACTGTATAAATATACTAAGATAAAAAAATGTTTATATACTCCCACCCCCTACAAGCCCCAACCCCAAATTTCAACCCCGATAATTTTTTTTTCTGAAAATGATCAGTAAAAAACGAATTTTGAGCCATTTTTATATTTTAGTTCTTGGCTTTTGTTCTCCGCCAGTGGACCGATTTAAAAAACAAACATTTACGTCTTTGCCAAGGTTAGCAACATTTTGGGATAATTCCATGGAAATGTAAGCAGTCCTTCTCAAGTAACAGACAGGCAGACCGACGGAAATGAGTGACATGGTTTCTCGTGATGTACATGTCATATAACATCCAAAAACAAAATATCTCATTTTCGAAACATTTCGCAGTTACAATACTTCCTCCCAGTGGCGTAGGAAGTCAGTTTTTTTTTGTAATAGGATTTGGAATTTCAAATTTGTTATTCACTCCAGTCAATTTTACGACTTTCGAAGGTAACACGTGTTACAGAAACCGTTTATTTTGTGTTATTATCTCGATAAACATAAAAGCTATAATGATATTTATGCGCAATTTCTGGAAATTCAGCCTAATAAACTAAAAAAATCACATGAGTAAACTCATCACTTAGAACACTAGGGTTTCAATGAAAATAATCAAATAGGCTCCCCAATAAAAAATCACGAATGTTCATATACCAAACATCCTGTATAAGATGCCAGATACATTAATGGACACAAGGCCGGCACGGATATTACGTATCTTGAAAAGTGACATTTCGTCGGTTTTTTGGCATTTCGTAGGTTTTTTGACATTTCGTAGTTTTTTTTTGACATTCAGCGAACAGCGATAGATCTAATGAATATAGTCGATTTTTTTCTAAAATATCTCTCAAACTAGCGAAAAAATATACGATTTGTGTAAGAAGGGCCTCTAATCCCCATATTAAATCAAGAAATTCTTTATAAAGTACCTTGTTTAGCTAGAAAAACGTATTTTTCCACTTGATGCGGAGTTCAAAATCGATGATGCGGATCATCAATGACCAATTAGAACGCGCTTTCATAAGAATGCATGGGAAATCCGAGATGACCATTCAATCCCTGCCAGAATCGTGGATCCTAAGTGATATAATGCCTAGATTAATAAGACATCAATTACTCTGAGCACTTTATTGAAAAGAACAGTCTATTACTTACCTGAGAAAGATAATTTTATAAAAAAATGATGTATTTTTGAAAATGCATCAACGAGTCGATTGTCGATTAAATTGCCGTCTGATATAATTAGCAGATATATGAACCACTTTGACACGCACATCCTCTATGTGTGCGCGACATTTAATCATAGTATTGGCAAACATATTTTTTATAAATGTATTTCAGTATGCATATAACGTATGTACGTTGCTTGAGGAAAAGAAAGCACCGAAGAAAATCTTTATTATATTTGAAACCAGGACTGCCTTGTGCCTTACATCAGCTCAGCTGTCCAGTCACAGAACTGCCCAATGCTACCATATCAAATCATTCAACGGAAAGTGGTGGGGATAAAATCGCAGTAGATCCTCAAAATAAACGTTAGATTGGTCGTATGACACTCCATTTCGACTCTTTTAATTGAATTGAAAAATAAGCGTTGTTAGGTTCAAGTACTATGTGTTAATATAACAAAGATTTGTACGTTAATACATATTATTCATGTTTACTGTTATTAGCTTGGCAACAGTACATATATTATGTATCAACTGTCAAGAGTAGAGGGGGAAGCGAATACTAGAGATGGAGCTGGCAGGATACGTTCGCAAATATTCACAAGTGTTAATTAGGGTGATTCAACACTATTAGGATATCTTAATCAATTCATAAACACAGTATACACACCGAAGCCTGCTATTTGTTACAATCATGAAAGAAATCTGTGGTTGTTGTATGTTGATCAAGTTCGATAATTACTTAACTATCGATCTCACGATGTACGAAAAATTACATCTCGCTCCTTGGCGCCTTATCTAGATAATCTAAGGGTTATTTCAAGTGCCGCTACGACATTCAAATCTGTGATACTGAGTTGTTTTTGAGTTTGTGGTGAATGTTATATAAATCAGATTCGAAAAACAAAACAATTACAGGAACAGTTCGTAAATCAATACTGTCATTAAAAAGTAAGGTAATGGGGTTCGTCGCGTCATGGGCTGACACTGCGGGATAGTGAAGGACATTATCGAAAATGTGCATTGCCCAGCTGCACTGTGGTCGATAATTATATATCGATACTACCTGTATTCCTTTCAAATGGTTTATCGTGTCATATAACAATGATATATATTTTTCTTTAATCCAAATTTCGAAGATATACTGATTACCGGAATATGTGGAAAAACAGAATGTCGCAGAAATTCAAATAGTATTAGTTTCATCTGATCGTTTGTGTTTATCATAGGTTCAAATTTAGTGATAGTTGTGCAGTACTTACAGATGCTAATTCATTTAACAAGTGTGGAATACCTATGTTGTATAAAATAAAACGCGTTTGCCGGCCAGGTATCCTATTGGATTAGGACAAATTCAATTTTAATGACATTGGCCTGCATTGGTTATCATAAATTAATATCATTATAATTTATTACAATCACAAAATAGTATTAACATGAAATGCTTATTCGAATATCGTTATTATCACCCCCATCTCTAGCCGACAAAGAAGCAAAAGAAAGAACGGTTTTCATTTTACGTCTTGCAGACTTTGTTATTACAGACCTTTCGTTTTGTTGTATAATTTCTTATCTGGTTTCTACCATTTTTTCTAAAATTTTATAAAGCAAACGCAACAGTATATATTCATCTAAAGCAAATAAAGGTATTTAAAATAATTGTAACCCAGGAACATTTCTATTTACCTTGAAGGACGACATGTGGATTAGGTACAGCAGCAAAAATGTTATAATGGTGATTAAGGAGTTTGTTAAAATATTCACCTAATTAACAACCGATATATCCTTTTTTCAATTTTTTCAGGTGTTTATGTTTATTTTGAATTTGGTTCATCTACAAGGTGGGTTTATGATACTTGTTTCCGATGCGCCAATTTTCGATGCAGTTTTACGTCCTTGTTGATTCGGGTCAACCGAAAAAATATGTTTTTGTAGCTAAACCAGATGATTTATGAAGACTTTCTTGATTTAATATACTCAATGTAATAGGCCCTTCTTACACAAATCGTATATTATTTCGGTAGTTTTGTACATATTTTAGAAGAAATCGACTATATTCATCTTCTAGAATGACGCCTTCTCATTGGTCTATTATGATCTCCATCAAGATTTTAGTTCCCGCGGATCAATAGCAAAATCAGACCCAACATTAGTACTGTGAATTACCGAATAGTAAAATATATAAACGCATGTGGTTTGACTTATCTCACTTTATAGTAGTGATTGATATTTTATATGAAGTTTTTAAACTCGGAGTATTTCGAAGGTAAACGGAAAAGTTTTGTTCCGAAGTCGTTTTGACTCCATTTGAGATGGAATCAAAACTCGACCGTTTTCGAAATCCCAATTACAGTCGAATTTGAAAAATCGGACATATTCGACTAAGATATATTTGTTTGTTCACAGCAACTGAAAGATGACCTGTGTGAGGTGGTCAGCGAAATGGAGACACTGGACTCCGGCGAGGATGGCGGCAAGAACAGCAACAAGGCCAAGATGATGTCGATAGGCAGGAAAAAGTTTAACATGGACCCGAAAAAGGGTATCGAGTACCTGATCGAGAAAGGGCTGCTGCAGCACACTGCGGAAAGTGTCGCGCAGTTCCTTCATAAAGGCGAAGGCCTTAACAAGACCGCTATAGGCGACTATCTAGGTGAGAAGAACGACTTTAATGAGCAGGTGTTACAAGCTTTCGTCGAGCTACATGATTTCAAGGACCTGATACTCGTCGAAGCACTCAGGTAAGTAATTACAATTAGAAATGTTTCAGGTGGAAAATGAAAATAATATATAAATAAATATGAAATACCCACAGAAGGCTTAGCCTGTGCGTGGTGTATCCAGTATTCAGTCTATATCGGATATAATTGTCATGAAATGATGTTATTATAAGGTTTACCCAAATAGGAGGTATCTCGATAAACATTGTAAGTTATAATTACGATAATTTTACCACAAAATAGGTTAAAAAGATTACATGGCCAATTTAAAAAAGGTTATACTCCAAGTGTTTGCAAGCAAGTGGATAATAAAGCCAAAGTAATTTAGAAGTAATAGCTCGAAGGGTATTAACAACTATTTAGGTCATCTTGTGGTAAAATCGTAGTAATTTTGCCCTATAAAATCACATGAGTCTGACCTAAATTTAACAATAAAGAAAACGTACATGTCTCATCTCTCTTGCTCAAACGTACAGTTGGCAACCTACTGGTTAAAAATAAGATTAGCTATCGATGCACTTGTCTATAGCCAAGTATGTTAAAGAAATGGCTTTTATTTGTGGTAGTGATTATAACAGAATGATTTCGAAATTATGGTCATAAGTGAACAAAAAGTTTATGGGCAGGACATTTTTTCGTGAAATGCGGCCTCCATAGTTACCCAAAATTTACGGGCTTTAGAAATATAAGCAAAATTAACGAATTTTGTTAATCTCGAATTATAACAACGCTTTGCTTTAAGGCGCGAAGTACTTAATTACATATGTATATCCAAAATAATGTGTTTTTGGGTGACGTAGGTATTTTTGGAAAATTTAACAATATTAAAATCCGTTAATGTTAATGTTTTAATATTAAAAAGAGGAATATATCAAATTGGGTGGATTACTGAATTTCGACCTGTAGGTTTTTTTATTTTTAACTTTATAGACGGGTTTACCCTATTGCAGACCTGATAATTACTTAGAGGCCAAAGTCCAAACCAAGGTGAAACTAGGTCCTGGTTTCTATTTTTGGACAAACAATTTGACATCGAATTATTTTTCGGATTGGTGTAAGTAGGCTGTATTTATTAGTTCCCCGTAGCTGGCAACTAAATTGTCATGAAAAGCTATTTTTGGGCACTATAACTATAAAGGCATATTTACAAATAATTTTAAGTCCAGTTAAGATACTTCTACTTACAAGAAATTATAGAATAGAAATTTCTCCTCCAAAGTTAGTTTCAACGTACGAAATCCTGACGAACATTTACTAAAAAAATCATTGTAACCTCATTGTGTACAATAGTCTTATTTCGTAGACATATTGACTGTTTTTCCAATCTATGTTGCAAACTTAGAAGGAATTTTTGTTGGTCACTAATAAGATAATTTTTTCTTACCAATGTGCCCAAAAAAGAACCTAACATTGAGGGTTTTGGATTATTATTAGGTAAGCTATAATCTCTGGATTTGTATTTAAGATCCAGAATTCTTTAAATACTTCCTAGAGGTGTGATTGTTAAGGTGGGTTGGTTTTCTAACCTAAGTTTGCCTTGGTTGTGACAGCTCGACAATTATGGTATTTTTCAGGAGTATCCATTACGTTTTAACCTTTACTGAGCTCAACAGTTGATCACAAAAACGACGTCTTTGTATTAGTCTGTAATATAATAATGAATTTCATGACTTTTTAACTTTTGTTCACATATCTGGATTATACATGTTAAGTGACTAGGAATTTTGACAATAAAATATACGAGGCACAGATATAAAAATGTTTTGTAGAAAATGTGACTGTAATTTTACCTGTAAAAATAATATAGACACGTGTTTCTGGTACTATAAACATTAAGAATGAATATGGCTTGTTTAAAACACCACTCATGTAAAAGGAATTAGTCTTGCATATTACATCAACCTTTCCCCCATTTCTAACTCGTTAGAATTACCTGACCTGATTCAGGGAATCGAACCTCTATCAATTCGGTCATATACTGACACACATTCTGCATTAATTGCTCTTTAAAATCATATGGTGCTTCAAGTTCTGAAAAGTAGAGGTAATTAACATGTAGTCATGGTCATAAGCAGTCATTCTGCAGGTAGGATTTTTTATGTGCAAGGGAACTTTTCAAAATAAAAAAGTTATTAGCAAGTTCAAAATGAATTTGTAGTACTAAAAAAAAAACACAAAATACGAATCTGTCTACCTAGCATTGACGGATCCCTCAGAAGTAACTGTGTGCCTATATGGGGAGTTTTTAAATAGCTCTAGATAATTAGGTGTTATTCCACTGTGATGGATACTCGTGAAAAATACCGTATCTCAAATTATTGTTCGAAAACTTTTTATATCGATATACATAAGGCTATTCAAAAACCAAGAATAGATTCAGTAGACTTGGATTTTTCTTGATGCCACCGAAACTTGGACAGAGAGCAGAATATGCTAGGCTGAGCAATAGGCCGATCGCTTGAAATTTATAACGTCTGCCATAGTCGATTATAACGTAATTTATTTATCATGAGCGTGGTAATTTGGAATATTATTAGTTGTTGTTTTTCCGTCCTAAAACATCTAACACGTTTACCTCTTACAGGCAATTCCTATGGAGCTTTCGACTACCTGGAGAAGCCCAAAAGATTGACCGGATGATGGAATGTTTTGCGAAACGGTACTGCGAATGTCAGGGCGATAATAAATTCTTTGAAAATTCTGACACCTGTTACGTCCTGTCATTCGCTATCATCATGCTAAACACCAGTCTGCACAATCCCAGCGTCAAGGAAAAGCCTAGTATAGAGCAGTTCATCAATATGAACAGAGGCATAAACCAGGGACAAGATCTGCCTAGGCAGCTGCTCGAAGTAAGTCTGATGTGACTGAGCTCTAATAACTTCAAATATTTATACTGATTGAAATACTTACCTCCTGGTTCCATTGAAAAATGAAAGTAGATTGACTCTCTACTTACTACGCCTTCGTTGGAGGTTTCAAAGAAAAGGGATGAGTCAGCGAATCGTGATTATTATGTTCACTTAAGTACGATGAACTTTCGACCTCTTCATGTCAAATTATATGAAACAAATCTATCATATTTCTGATTCCATGGCAGGTGTAGGGAAAATATGAGTGACTTATCTCTAACAGGTGCATAGTATCACCGAGATCAGCAGCTACTTAGTAATAGATCTTTCACTGACACCAAATATGCAACAATTTGCAATCATTTACCGCATACAGCTTCCAACCTACAATTTTCATCCCCTCCAAACAATGTCTGAAAATGAGCAGGAATCTCTGGAACCTTGTAACACTTTGTTCCAGTGATTTTATTTCCGCCGCCTCTGAATCAATTTTCAAAATTTGCGACTACCTAAACGATGGAAGTATTATACTCGCGATAATATCGGAACTTCGATTCACAAGTTTTCTGTCGCTTAAAGATATCTGCACCACACACAGGTCCATGTTTCTCATTTATGTCGGTTTGTCAGTCCGTGCGGATATCAATGCGTCATAAGTACCGAGTCAATTTACTTGACGAAATATTCATAGAACCATCATGTACGGAGTAACACAAATTAAACGTTAGGCGGAATGGGTGGTTCATATAAGAATCATAAAATTCCGAAAAATATATCGATAATATTCAAACTTTAAATCCCATGTATTATAAAAACAATTTCTTGCGCAGTAAAATATCACCATCAGATTGCAAATTTCTGTCTGTTTGGTAATGGGTGTATATGTCAGAACTAAATGCAACATGGCTGATGTAGTTACTCAATCATATTTTATTTGCCAAAAAAGATCTAATGCCTTTTTGTTATATCAATGATCATTAAAAAACAAATTACATATTCTCAATGGGTGCACTTGAACAACAAAAGTAAACCGTTAGTTTTAGTCTAAACAAAAAAGCTGCATTTAAGACAAGAAGGCGGTTTAGTCAAGCTCTTTAAACGTTTTCAATAAAACTGTTTTATAATAATTGTTGCACAGTATGTTTTATAATAATTATGAAAACGTTTTATCCGGTAAAAGCATAATGAAACAAAAAAAAAACGTTGTTAGGACATATGTATTTAAAACAGAAAGTGTTAGTTAGATTAGGTTAGCAGAATTGGGAAAGCCTTAATTAAGCTCAACCTGTGGTTGTATATTTAATCACAGGATGCTCATTGCATCCATTGAGGCAAATATCCTAACGTCGTCAGCAATATTAGGAAAATGCTTCGTTTTTTCCAGAGCCTGTATAACAACATAAAAGCGGAGCCGTTTAAAATTCCCGAAGACGATGGGAATGACCTGATGCATACGTTCTTCAATCCGGACAAGGAAGGATGGTTGTGGAAGCAGGGTGGCAGGTACAAGAGCTGGAAGCGGCGATGGTTTATACTGAACGATAACTGCCTCTACTACTTCGAATACACTACTGATAAAGAACCAAGGGGGATCATACCCCTCGAAAATATCAGCATTAGGGAGTGTACGGATAGACAGAAACAGTACTGTTTCGAGCTTTACGCCAGTGGCGGCGCTGACTTCATCAAGGCCTGCAAGACTGATTCTGAGGGCAAGGTGAGCGAAAACTAGGTTTAAGTTAAACTCTCACAACGGAGCATTTTCCACTTGGAGAATCACATGTTCACTAGCTGAAGCCAATGGAATCGAGTACATTAGAATGATGTATGCTTACATGGCTGTGTTTGTCGTCAAACCAGTACCAAAGCTTAGATAACAATCGGCTATGAAACTCTCCTGTCAGTGTCAAAAAGGGCCGCCATTTTAGCGGAGAATGTCGAATGTAAATTCCCCCAGTACAACGATGAACGTTCCGTAATTAGCATCTTGGGCGGTGTTGCCGTGTACCATGCTAGCTGCCGCAGATAACCTTTGCTATCTTAAAAGCGAAGCGACGGAGTATTGATGATCATTTATTTACGAAAAAGCTGCAGAATAAATTTGTAACGGTGGACGGTTTCAGTTTTTACAATATACGGAAACATATTTACTTTTGTTTGATATACTTATATAGAAGAAATGAAGAAACCAGACGAAAACATCTCGTTACCGCTTCACATTTTGCAGCAGTAACATTTCTTTAAAATGATGGTACCATAGAACTGGCCCCCAGATTTTATTTTGAGGCCACATGAAAGTTTTAATGACAGTTTCAAGAAATATTATTCTTTTTCACATAAATCATCATAGGACGGTCTGGACCTTGGAATATGATGACATTTTCGCAAATTTGATTAGCAGTGTCTGTAGCCTAGCATCGCGAGGCGTACGTTCCCTTAGTAACGCGTTTCTATTGCATTTTTTGGCCAGCGGTTCAAATCCCATCCTGACCTATTTCAAAATCAACTCGTATGAATATTGGTTCCAGAAATCCGAATAACGGAACGGGTGGCGCCGTCCTTCATTCAAGGATTAAAACTGGTTTTTGTTTAATAAATCCGAATGTCCCATCAGTGGCGCCGCCCATTATCCAAAGGCTAAAGCTGGTTTTGGATAATGTTTGGATTTTGCTATCATAGGGACATAGTTAACAATTTTGCCACATTGCACCAATTTGAATGTCATTTAATATAAAACCATAATTATGAATACAAAGTATTAAATTACATTTTAACGATTTTGTACTTATACAATAGATCGCTAAATATAGAGCACTCATCATTAGTTTTACCAGTTTCCAATCTATACTCATTATGTTACCTCATTATATCCTAACCTGACAAATGAGATGAAATAATTTTATACTTGTTGTTCTCGTAGTAGTAGACTCATATTTTATGTATTATATAATCTATTTTAGGAAGAAATTAAAGGATTTCATAGACACGAATTTTATTGAAATTTTCAGTTTCTTGATCTAGTGTGTGTAACAGGTTTTGAGAATATATTTTGTTGTTTTTTCATATATGGGTAGTTATCTGAAATTTGGTTAACTTGGTGTTAGCATGAATTTTCACAATATTAAAAAATATATATCCTATATCTGAAACTACTAAGCGATATTTTATAGTCTATTTAGTTCGGTCACCAATTTTGATAAATGTCATAATATTCTTTATTTCAATAAATTGACATTTTTTACTCCAAATATCAGGCCCTAGCCATGTAAGATCTCCCAAATTTAGTATTCACGTCACTGTAATCTTATTGTATTAAATAATAATTTGATGAAACTCTATTTAAATTTGTTTACTATTACATTGCTTACATTGTCATTACGATTTAATGTATAAAATAATTTTGTTTGATCACATTATTTCAAGTCAAAAAGTGTAAGCGATAAAAAATATCAGGCCCTAGTCATTTACGAAATTCAAAAATACGCGGCATCCAAACATATGACTTATTCATAACTCACTCAATACGGTAGCATCGGTGTGTAGTTGGTTGCAAACACGAGCCAAGCCGCGGCAGCAATTTTGCTATTAGTGTGGTAACCGACTTTGCTGCGGAAACACGTGCTGTGCCAGTCAAACTCTCAGGCCCTAGGTAAGTCGTTTTAAACATATATAATTACTCATTGATGTCATTACTTATTGAATGTATGAGCTAGGTCTGCTTTGTTATTTTGACCGCCTATTGATTTTATAGTGATTTAAAATAATAGCTTTCATTTGATTTTGCTTCGTTTCGTCAGTCCCTAGACCGTCAGGCCCTAGTCGTAATAGTGACTAGGGCCTGATGCCACATCTAGGGACTGATGATCATACTGTGTGATGCATAGTTTTAATCATAATACCAATGTATTTGTTGTAGAATATGGCGCCTATAAAGAAAAAAAACATTGTCTAAAGAGGAAATTGCAAAAAAAAAGTCTGAACAGACAAAGAGGCGATTGGAAAAAATTAAAAATGATCCTGTTTTGCTGGCGGAGTACAAAGAAAAGGAACGACTAAAATATCTAAAGAAAAAGGAAAAAGGACAACGGAAGTGTGTAAAAGACATGACTCCTCGTGAGCACAGAAAGGCAAGAAAAAATTGGGTAGCCTATTCATCTGATTACAGAAAAAAACAAAAGATTCGTGACAATACAGATAAATACGTGGACCAAAATACGCCGCCATCATCGGAAGATGAAATTATTCCTGAGGCTCCTTTATTAAATAATGAAAGAGAAGCTGAAGCTAGAAGGAGGAGTATAGTTCAATGGAGAAAAAGAAATAGTATGTTGAGGAGGAAGGACTTACTCATTGAAAATTTAAAGAAGAAACTTGCCAGCGAACAACAAAGAAACAGAAGACTGAAATATAGAATGATACAAAAAAAGCAAGCACTGACACCAGAAAGTAAAATTGTAGAAATGGCCAACGACCCTAATCAAAAAGCAGAATTGATAAAAAAAGCGTTATTTGGCGATATTATTCAAAGGCAAATTTTAGATAAAGAGATTCAGACACCCAAAACAAAAAACTGCTTAAAAACGATTTTGTCAAGTCCACTGACACATAAATATAAAATATGGATACTTGGAAACACAGCCATTACATATAAAAAGATGGGATTTAATCGTACAAAATATGAAGCTATGCGAAAAAAAAAAAGAGAGTTGAAGAAGTCATACACAAGTTTTATGAAGATGACAATAATAGTCGTTGTGCGGCAGGAAAAAAAGAGTGCATCACTCGCAAAAAAAATAAAAAACAAAAAAGATATTTGCTGGATTCCTTGAAGAACTTGCATCAAAAATTTCACAATACGAGTTTGATGGAAATTGGGTATAATTATTTTTGCAAATTGCGTCCATTTTGTGTTGTTGTGCCTAAGCTTACAGACCGTGATACCTGTGCTTGTGTTATTCATGAAAACATCAATTTGAAGTTAGGTGCCTTAAAAAATGCAAACGTTCTTGTCTTTGCCACATATCAAACTGCACTGGAAACAATTTGCTGTGATCGTTACTCGGAAAAATACTTAGCGAGAACTTGCCAGGACTGCTCATTGAAGATTTTACCATATAAGGAGTTTGATAATAGTAAGGACATGGCAGTCAAACAATGGAAGGATAGCAAGGAATTGATTAAGGACATTAAAACTAAACAGGATAGATACGTCACAAAGTATAAGAAAGAGATATGCAATTCAAAACCTCGTGATTTAGTTATGCAATTAGAAGAGAGTGATCTCATAATAATTAATGAAAGTCTGAATGTTGTGTTCAAATTATAATTTGGTAACTCAAAACTTTAGAAAGCTGATTATTTAAAATAATTGTTAATTTTTAAAGGACTATTAGTTTGTAAGTATTAAACTCAAAGTATAATTTGATTGTTGAGAAATATTGATAGATTATTTTCAAGTGTATAATTAAAAAAATAGATCCTGTACTGAGATTATAAATCATAGAATTTGTGAACTTAAGAGATTATTTTGTTGTTACGGTTGATTTTGCAATAAAAAATGTGATTTGACATAATAACCGTGTTTGGTGTCAGTCCCTATCACTTGTCGTCAGTCCCTAGAACACTGATTTTAAAAAATCATAAATTTCTCTGAAAATATGAAGTAAAGTGACTGGCCCTTTTAGATGCAGCAAAGTAGATGTTATACCTACAGCATAGAATATAAGCTGTTCTGATTTTTAACTAAAAACTAAAAACACCACCTTCAAAATTACATCAGAAGTTAACCAAATTTCAGATAACCACCCATATAAATAAACATCAATTTTAAACAAACATGTTCCTTTTTTATTATTGGAATACTACTCAGATCATATCGCAATATTATAATTTTTTAATTTTTCGATTGAACGCATTTCTGTCGCCGCTAGCATGGTAAGTGGCAATACCGCCTTGGACTGTTGAACAGCGGATTTGTGGAATAAATTGCATCAATTTCTTCAAAAAATCTAAACACCAAATGCTATAAACTAATAAAGATTCATACGAGTTGATTTTGAAATAGGTCACAATACCATAATTCAACAAAGAAACAAACAAAAAAAGAAAAAAATCGCCGGGTACGGATGGAATTTGAACCGCTGACCAAAAAAATGATATATAATAGAAACGCGTGTTTAAGGGTACGTACGCCTCATAACGCTAGCCTACAGACACTGCGAAAGTGTCCTCATATTCCAAGGATCGCCCCCTCCTATGATGATTTATGTGAAAAGGAATAATAACGTTTTTAAAACGTTCAGTAAATATTCATGTGCTCTCAAAATGAAATGTGGGGGTAAATTATTTGATACCAAAACAGCATCATTTTAAAGCAATATTACTGCTTTTTTCTTCTGGTTTCCTTAATTTCTTCATCTTAAATATATCTACAAACGTAAATATTCTTCCGTTTATTGTAAATACTGATAACCATTACAAATTTATTCTAAAGCTTTTTCATAAATAAATAATCATCAATAAATACTCCGTCGCTTCGTTTTGTACAAACATGCTCCTTTTTTATTATTGGTTGATACAAACTGCTCATTAGCTCATATCGCAATAAAATAATTTTTACGATTGCAAAATACTCGTTATTAGTCCATAATACATTATTTAAAAATTCAGCAGCAAAGTTTTTTGAGCTTCAGCCACTACAACCCACAAATCTTAGATGTAACACCGCTGTTACTATGAAGACCGAAAACAAAATGAAAACGGTTTTTAATTTTCTTCAATAAGGTTATGAAGTAAAGACAAGGATAAAATAGGATAATACAATGAAGCAGCTTAGACATTACCAAACTCTGTACCAATTTCTTTCGAGTCTTGAAATTGAAGATGGAACGATTTGAATATCAAGTCAAAAGTATAGACTAAATACAACAAGGGACCAAGTCCATTCCCCGTGGAACACCAGATACAACATCAGCTCTAGCAGAAACTCCTTAATTTGTTGTAACTCGTTGCTTGCAATTTTCTAAATACGATTTAAACAAACGAAAGAGGAATATCAGAAATTCAGTAGTATTTTAGTTTGCATGGAAGAATGTCATGGTTAACCATATCAAATGCGTTAGAATAATGTAACAGCAGTTGTACAGTACAAGTACACTTGTCCAAATTACAAGAACTTTCATCCATTGAATGTAGTAAAGTTGTTTTTGTTCTGTGCCCATTACGGAAATCAGACGGAAAATTTGGCATTATATTGTACGTTTCAAATATTGATTGGACTAATTGCCTATAAACAATTTTTTTGCAATATTTTTGACGAGTACACAAAATACTAATTGGCTTTAAGTCTGAGTATTCAAACAAGCATTGGTGATCTGGGTTCGAAATAATGGTATCGAAAACATATTCTATAATAACTAAGTGAAGGTGAAAGGGTGGAATGTCTGAGATAAAAGACCTTCTGCTATATTGATTTGTATGGATTTTGGAAATTATTTTAGGTGCCAAAATTCTTTACCGAAAAACTGTATAAAGACTCTAATGTTTTCAGTATCTGATAACCATACTGTATAAACCTTCTATTATATTTTTTTAACAAATTGTACTCTTGTGACCAGTATAACCATGAGACAAGATGCAAAAATCTCAGTCCAGACCCGACAAATAAATAAGCAAATTGGACAAAGATCGTTCGGATATATGGGTTCACGGGTCTATAATCTTCTACCTGACGAATGTAGACAGCAGATGAGTTATTATACATATAAAAAACTAATAAAATACTGAAGTCAAGATATCGATGAAATATCAAATTAATACATATTTGGATCTGCCCAACAAATCACCACCCTGCGTATTCTCAAACTATGGAAATTTTAGATAATTCTAGGTGCAATTCAATTCAAATAATTATTTGAGTATGTACGAGGGCGGTACTTAGCCTCACCGCACGATGGCAACACTATCGCAAGAGAAATTTACTATCATGTAGTACATTTTCGTAGACGGCTACTGTCAAAATTTCCGCCGAACCGGACTCATAGATTTCTTTCGACCGCGTACTCGAAGCGGGCGTGTCGGCGGATTTTAGAAAAATGGAAAAAGAGCAATATCGCTTGGTGATTCGAATTAAGCTACGAACTGCTATAACATCCACCGTATTCTACAGATTTGGCCAGTGCGACTTCTTTTTATTTCTAAAATTGAAAAAAATCACTTGCCGGGCATAAATTTGAGTTGAATGAGGAAGTTATCGCCGCCACCGAGTCCTACTTTGCAGACTGCAGGAAACGTATTTTTTAGACGGGTTAAAGAAGTTGGAGCATTGCTGGGTCAAGTGTATCGAGCTGACAGGAGTATTTGTTTAGAAATAAATCGCCACTTTTCCAAAATTTTCGTTTTTCCTTTGTACACTTGGTAGTACGTAACGGATCGCCTTAATATGTATACTTAATATTTACAAGATACATTAATATATGATGCAATATTTGACGTAAAATAGAACCAGCGTAAAGCCGCATGCCCTCTGCCGGTTCTTTATGTTTATTTGTTTTGTTTCATACTCCATTTTATAAATAAACATTATTATTATTAGAATTATTTTTCAGGTGGTTGAGGGTAAACACACGGTATACCGTATGTCGGCCAGCAGCGATGAAGAAAGGAAAGAATGGATTCAAAGACTGACACAAAGTATTAGTCATAATCCCTTCTACGATATGTTGGCGAGTCGGAAGAGAAAGGCTCAATTGTATGCGAAAAACTGAATTATATCGCAAACCAGTGATAATGTACAGATGATTTTGCAGGCAAAGTGTCGATTGAGTATGTGAACTATAAATACCTATAATCATTTACCTGAAGTTTTGGGCGTGTTGTCGATATGAACACGAGCATTGTATTTAGATTCTTACAAGTCACTGTAACCATGCATTTTGACAGATTTCGAGTTCCATCGCATTGCGGTTCTTTCATAAAATGGGCTTTAAAGTGATAGAATAGATTTTTCTTCGACAATCAAGTGCTTTTTAAATTTAAATGCAACTTATAAATCATTGCTAGTTGGACAGCGAATCACATTATTTTTTCATATTACTAATGGTTTATGAAATTACGAAATATTTGAAAATAATCATGCCTTGCGAGTTTTATATAAATTTTATCTACATTTACAGTTAACTAGGAATGGAGATGGCCTTATAATGGTGAATTGACCTCTGTACTATTCATTTTTTGAAACAACTTGAGAGATAGGAAAATTGGTGAAATGACTTGGCAGCCTATATTTGAATTTTATATAATGGCCTATTTTTTTTGTCCTTACAAACAGCTCAGTGTTACGTGTCTGAGGTTAGTAGAGTTGGTGAATGTGGAATACTTTTCATTTAAAGCCTATAGCAGTTTGACGCATTCAAGTGAATCAAGTAGTTCTGATATCTGTGAGGTTCTGTCAAATCGCTGAAGTAATTTAGGTTGCATATTTTGAGTCCATGCATTTGCAAAAATGAAATTATGCGTGTAATATGTAGCCATGGAAAATTAGTATGGTAATGTGGAATACTAGGGTTTGGTAATGCAGAATATGGCATGGTAATGTGGAATATAACATGGTAATGTGGAATAATGATCTTTTTGTTGGTTTGTACAAATGTTGAACATATTTCACAAGCAGAAGTGCTGAATAATCTTTTGTCTGTGAAACATAGTACAGCGTTTTAAAAATCTATCTAATGATGTGTAAGTTTTGCAAATATTATCTATAATCTTGAGTAAAACTTCTTTATTTTTGTTCTAATCTTCATTTTACTGAGATTCCAAACGGCTGATGGTGACCAAAATAAATAAATGTACATTCTACAGAACAGTGAACGAACAAAACATTGTCAAAATCTGCATATCTAAATGTTTTGGTTTTATACTTGCAAAAATCGCATGTTACAGTAGTAAAAACGACGTAAAAACTGATTAGTTTTTGAAAATCGGTCCAATGGCGGCTGGGAAAAAGGCGTAAGGCTTCTCGTCCATTGAAACCGCATTCGTCCGAGTAAGTAGTCGGCCGACTTAACGGCCGATTTGGACGTCAGATCTCTGCTCGTCTACTGCAGCCGAATTATATCCGAGACAAGTAGGGCGACAACTTCGTTCGTATGATGAATGTTGATTAATTTCATTACAAAATGGATAGTGACTTGTATTTCTTAGAAAATTCATACCTCGTAAGGCGACGGTTGAATCGAAAGGCGAAAAGAAAGTGTTGGGTCAACTCTATTTTAAGAAAAAGAAAAACTCTAGGTGAATTTCATCATTTACATGATGAATTAAAGAGAAACAGTAAAAAGTTTTTCGAATATTACAGAATGAGTATTGGAACATTTCACTATATCTTAGATGTAATTCAGCCATCAATTATAAAATACTCGAATTTCCGAGAAACTATACCACCCGAGGAACGTCTGGCTTTAACACTGAGGTAAGCTAAATATTGATATTTATTTTACCAAAACAAAAGAGTTTAATTTACAAAACATGAGTACTTAAAATTATGGTAGAACTGTTAAAAAACTTAATTCAGTTTCATCTCTGAAATTTGAAACGTAACTTGCAGCACTCTCCAATGAACTGGCGTCATGATTTCCTACATTGATGGAATTTGGAGGGGACGACAGAGTGTGTGTACCATGTGAGGAATATGCATAACAAGACGAATGGCTTCGTGTGTGTGAAGGATTCTCTTCTTCATCAATGAAAACTTGTAATAATTTATGTCTAAGTACAAGGTTTCGATGAGGTGGTGCTTTTTTTAAAAATGGCAGAAGGCTTACTAAAAACTGGTAGTCACTGTCTTCTTTCGCACCAGCTTTCTCAGCATATAATTTTAATTTCTCTTTCTCTATTTCAAGAAACGGGTCATCCGCTGTATTAGGCAATATTTTCCTTTTTTTCTTGTATTTATCTGTATTTTTCGGTGGTTCTAATTTCTTTCCTTTGTCGACTTGTGGGGTACTTCGTTTATTTAAGGCTCTTGATACAGAAGGCGCAACAGACGTCTGAAAATTTTCCTCGACAATACCTGATGACACTTGGGAACTAGAAGCTGCCCTGAAGTTTTCGTTGCACAATTATGTCTTTCAAAAATAACATGCTTTCAAAATGTGGCCAAGTCGACGTATTTTCAAGAGGGGCTTCATCTTCACTCCTGCCTTTTGAAATTTTGTTGAACCCCTTGCGGAGAACGTCCCTCAGTCCTTGCCATTTTTTTTTAATCAAAGTAACTGAAACAATAAAATATCTTGTTAGAGATTCCTTTTAAAGAATCAAAACTGTTTATAAAGAGTGACTTATGCGTTGGCACCCTGTGTATGTATTAAATTTTCTTTGCAGATATTTGGCAACGGGTTCTTCTTTCAAGACACTAGGCTACTCATTTAGAATATCCGACGTAACAGTAGGCAGGATAGTTCGGAAAACATGTGAAGCGATTTGGGACAATTTGCATGAACTCCATATGTCACTTCCGAACGAAAACGAAGTAAAAATTGTATTAGATGGATTTTGGAAGAAATGGAAATTCCCGAATTGTGTGGGCTGTTTAGATGGCAAACACGTAAAAATAAAGAATCCAAAACATCCCGGAAGTATGTATAGAAATTACAAACAGTTTTTTCTATCGTTCTGCAAGCAGTAGCTGGTCCAGATTACAGGTTTCTATGTATTCATGTTGGGGCTTACGGTAAAGAGAGGGACGGTGGTGTTTTTTCACATTCCGACCTGTCTAAGGAACTCGAAAGGGGTGCTTTAAGTGTTGGACAGTTGTCACCTCTACCAGGAACTAACGTTAAAGTACCTAACGTTATCTTAGGCGACGAAGCATATCCGCTAAAAACTTTTTTAATGAGACCGTTCCCGGTGTCGAAACTTGGGCCGTCAGAAAGTGGTTTTAATAAGCGTCTGTCTAGAGCTCGGCAGGTGATAGAATGCGCGTTTGGAATAATGTGCCATAAATGGAGACTGCTACTTACAACTATTGAAGTTCAAACACCGGATAATATTGACAAAATTATCAAATGCATATGCCTGATGCATAACATCGTGATTGAAATAGAAGGCGAGGAACCAGTAGCGTCATTTATTTCCCAGCAAACACCGTCGACGAGCAGATATTCTTCTATCGGTGAGAATCGAAGTATGAATGCCGCTTATGCCATTCGGGAAAAGTTTAAAGATTTTTTCTGTACAATTTCTGTTAATGAATAAAAGTAATAACTAATAAGTAAACTAATAGTTTTTTATCATTTTTAAATCAAAACAGGCGAGAAGCCCGATAACTGAATAATTACCCTTTTTAAAATTAAAAAATGATAAGTATAATATTTACATACGAAGCTGTTTAATATTTGAAAATTGGGGAAAACTTGTTGACATACATACCATCATCAATACCCATTTCCTTAGCCACTTCTAACCAAAGCTTTCTTTGAACGTCTCGGTGTTGATATCTTTTATCACGCATATCCCACAGTGGTGTTTTTGCATTTACAATGCTTATAAGCTTTTCAATATCCATGATTTGGCACAAAAGACGTATTTAATTAAAAAATCACATAAATAACTGCATCAACAAGTCAATTTCTTGACAGCCCAACGGTAGAAATACGGTCGACTAATCCGATCAGAATGGGATCCGCCCGCAAGTCGGCCGTGATCGGTCAAATTCGACCGACTAGGTCGTTTGTAGTAGACGCGCGTGAACACCTACGTTTGTCTTGGGATTACTCGGCCGTGGTCTGGAATAGGTTGGCCGACTACTTACTCGGACGAATGCGGTTTCAATGGACGAGAAGCCTACAACGAAAAAAGTAAAAATCGCTCAAATTTCGTTTTTTGACGTTTCAAAGGATCATTTTTGAAAAAAATTATAAGTAAACGCACGTATTAGATATACAAGTATTTCACACTTCATAGATTTCTCTGTACAATAGCCGTTAAAACGAAATGGTGGGTGTTCTGGTATGGAATCACACGTATTTCTGCATTAATATTGTCTATGCTCTGACCGCGCTACCACGGTGCCACGTTGCGTGGGAAGTGTCAACCTACTTGAAGTCATTTTCTTCATAGAGGTATCATAAAAAATGCAAGGCTGTAAAGATTACATTTTCGGTTAATCATTCTTTAACCTTTTTTTCAACAACTTGAAGGTAAAGATGAAATCTTATACGATTTTTAGGCGCTCTCCATTCCTTTAAAGCTGCTTCCTCGGGAGGTCCAAGTGATGTTAAGATTCAAATTTATCAGATTAACTTATGCGAAGCATAGAGGCGAAACCGTTGGGGTAAACAATTTTCATTTAAGAATTGCCTGAAATGTGCTGTACCAAGTACAATTATTGAACTATACAGGGTGTTCGATACAGTCTAGGTATAACGCAACTATGAAGTTGGGAAATGCAATAAAGTACATATCAAATGACATATTTTGATCCAATAAGTATCAATTTGGTTTGATAGTTATGTAAAACTCTGCGGCTCACTATATAAAATACATTAATTTGAATTTTGCATTTTCATCAGTTTAACACATAACGGTCGATTGATACTTTTTTCAGGGAATTTCGATAGTTACAGATTCCAGTCATAATTGAAAATAATTTTTGCTGATGTGCAAGATGTCAATGAAGACTCAAAACGTCCCTTACTGAAGAGCATTCATGCATTCTCATCGCAGGCCGATAGTAGACAGCAGATTTAAAAAAAAGATTAACGCATTGTTGTTAAATTATAGTTTATATCAGCACCTTAGAAGTAAAGTGTGTTAAGTCACTAAAATATAATTTTACAGGAAAGGCGTTTAAAGTTTTTTTTTTCAGGTTTATTGTACTTTCGTAAGTATTTGTGTATTTTTTTTATTTTTTGTTATGTGGTCGTTACAATACAATTCAGGCATGAAAATAATGCAAAAAGCAATACTTTTTTTGCAACTTCCGCTTTTGATATGACTTAACTTTTTTTAGTCATAAAAAAATAATATAAAAGAACTTAACTCTTATTAATATTCAATTTTTTATTGATGAAAAAAAAATTATTTATAAAACTATTGTCTAATTCAGAACATAAACAACTAATAGACAGTGTAATTAATCAGAATGGTCTAGATTTTGATAAAATCGATGAAAAATTTTCGGTACCCATTTTAATAGGGCTTTTAAGTTATTAAAATTTTGTAAACTTATGCCTTTAAATAGTGCTTTTGGTAGGTTTTCAGGAATATTAGTAATCGATCGACTATTCTTGTTTAGGTCAATTTCATTGAAGTTATCACTGAAAGATGTTTTCAAATATAAAATGCCCTTAAGGGGCCTACAGACACACGCACATGTATTAAGACATGAACGCACGGCGATGTTTGCGCAGTGATACCCGTCGATCTACTTTTAGCTCCACACATAGAGACTTGTGTGTCAGTTTTCCCCACATCGATGTTGTAGTTTGTCGCCATGTCTAGCGATGATGAGTTAAACTTACTAGCAGTGGCCTGCGTTTGTATTGTGAAAAAAAGAAAACATCAATTGAAAAAGAGACGTCAGCCACGAAGAAAATGGGTTAAAGATTGGCTTTTGAAGCGGGATCAATATTCTCACATCAATTTACTTGAAGAGCTACGATTAGAACCTGATGATTGGCGAAACTACTTCCGGATGGATGAAGATAGTTATATAAAACTCCTAGAGATGGTTACGCCACTTATTGAAAAACAGGACACACCGATGAGACCCGCTATATCGGTACATGAAAGACTGTCGGCCACATTGAGGTATTTGGCCACTGGGAGGAATTATGAAGATTTAAAATTTTCTACCCTGATTTCTCCACAGTCATTGTGCAACATAATTCCAGAGACATGCAGCGCTATTTATGAAGTACTGAAGAAAGACTATATGAAGGTGGGTACAGAGTATATTACTTAGTAGTAAAATAAACACAAACTCTCAAGTATTCTATTTTTATACATACAACGCTTATCTAATAGAACTCTTATATGTAAATATAAACTGGACCTTAAATGTTAGCTTCACTTAGAGGATTATACGATCCAAAATAAGTTGAAACTGTGGAGCTACCCTCGTTGATTTGTTGAGGATGGCTTTGATGGCACTGGGGCTTAAGTGGCATAGCGGGTAGCAAATAAGTTTGTGCTTGATTTTGTGTGCCTGATATATTTATAGGTTGAGTCGAATTGTAGTTATATTGATTAGGGTAGCAAGCATCAACAACGCTATTACTGGAAAAATTGTTTTGATTATGTTCATTGTCTCCTGACGAAACAATCCTAGTATTTCTGGACACGTTACCCATTTCAGCCTCAAACAGCAGATCATTTATGAGTTTCTCAGTGTATAATCTGGTTTCTTTTGGGAGTCCTTTCAATTTTGCTGCGACATTTTTCCCAAAAATGGCGAATTGATCGTCATTCTTGGAACGTAGTCTTTCTCCTACCGCCGCCAACACGTTGTCTGCTTCTTGGTTATCAGAGTTTGTCTTGCGTTTCTTTTTTCCCCGATTTCCAGCTGCAGGCAGCGGTACAATGTTTTCTGGATTGGAAATTGGACGTACATTTTGACTACTACAAGGTCTGGATATTGGTGGACTTGGTACTGAGCTCAGCTCACTCCCTTGACTTTGATTTACATCATATCTAGTTTTCTGCAAAAAAATATATATTTTTGATTTTTTTCAATTCCCAACGACCGAGAATGAATGGAGAAATATTGCAGACGACTTCGAAAAGAGATGCAACTTTCCGAACTGCCTGGGGGCGGTAGATGGAAAACATGTCAATATAAAACCGCCCACCGGAAGTGGTTCATATTTTTATAACTATTAAGGAACACACAGCCTAGTGCTCTTGGCAGTGGTCAACGCAAATTACGAGTTCATTATGTGTGATTTTGGTATCAACGGCCGCATATCTGATGGAGGAGTTATTGAGTTGAGTTTTACCGGAAGCTTAAAGATAGGAAACTCTCCATACCACCTCCAACAAGAACAATGAACAGTAAAGAAGCATTGCCATTTGTTTTTATAGGTGATGAAGCGTTTGCACTCCGCTGTGATTTCTTGAAACCATTTAGCCAGAGAGACTTGGATCATGATAAGAAAATTTTCAATTATCGTCTCTCAAGGGCAAGATGTAGAGTAGAGAATGCTTTCGGTATACTCTCTGCTCGATTTAGAATATTCCACACAGCTATATCTATTAACTTAAAAGCAATTGACAAAGTAGTGATGGCATGTTGTGTTCTGCATAATTTTCTGAGAAGAAGAACTGCCACTGTGTATGCACCTGATAACAACTTATACAGGGAGAACCATGAAGATGGCACTGTTGAATTAGGCTTGCAGCCCAATCAGATGAGTAGTTAGCAACGGGGTTACAATAGAAGAGCAAACAAGGATGCACAAGAAGTTAGACAGTTATTTCTGAACTACTTTAATAATGAGGGATCCGTAGCTTGGCAGGAAAGAATGATTTGCTAATTTATGTATTATACCTTCTAAGTACTTAAGTTAAAGTGAAGCGAATCAAAATATCAAGACGATTTTTTATTACCCTCTATATTAATATGTGTACTACTTCATTGTTTCTTACATGAAATCAAAAAATGGCATCAAGTAGGTTGACTCCGCACTTCCCACGCATTGATTTTATCGGTTCAAGCATATCCATGTTCGGCTAGCCCCTCTTATTTTTATATATATATATTATACCATCCATAAAATATAATACCTCATTTTCTAAATTTTTCGCGATTACAATACTTCCTCTGTTCCTCTCCAGTTGGCGTGGGAAGTAAAAGTCAAATAAATAAATCAGGCCTTACCTCCAGTTCTAGAGCGTCTTCATTTTCCATTTGTGAATGGCAACTATCCATTTCACTTTCGCTTCCAACATATTCAATATTACTAATGGATTGTCTAGGGATTTCCTGATCCTTTATAAATAAAAGTAGATCATAATACCATAAATGTGGTATATAAACATCATCTGCTGCAGCACCCGATCTTCTCGACTCTTTAATTTTTTTTAGTTCTCTCCGAAAACTAGCTCGGAGGCTATTAATTTTAGTTTTAACCATTTCTTTGTTGGCATTTTTCTCAACTTCTTGGAGCTTCAGCACCAACACTTTATATGCTTCGTTTTTTTTTATCGCGATCCATATAGTCTTTTGATTTTACTCGCCACAAACATGGATAGGATTTGTACAGTTCTATGAACTCTGTTATAAACTCTTTGGAAAAACTTCTCAAACCTGCCATATTGACAAATTCAAAACTAAATGAACTTCTAAGTTGACCCCCCTGCTCCTAACAACAGAATACACGAATGCAGTTGCGCCACTGAATTAAGTCTGTGAAAAAATTAGTACGTTTTGTCTACACACAGTCATACATACACGCGCGTACAAGTCTGTGCAGGCATAAATTCAAGCGAAAACAGAAAGCATGTGCGTCGGTCTTTTAACGAGAGATTTGTCTACACACTGGCGAACATCAACGCGCAAACGTCGACGTGCGTTCATGTCTTAATACATGTTAGTGTGTCTGTAGGCCCCTTCATTTTGGGATCGTACTTGTAGGTGAACGGCGTTTGATATTAAAAATGAGTCATTTGTAAGTGTCTTTTTTCTTATAACAAAGGGAGCATTAGGACCTTCATAAAGACTTTTAATGTTTATAAAATAATCTTTTTCCCAATGCACCATGATTTTAAATTGCGTTTGTCTCTTCCATTCCCTTTCAATTAATGAATGAGCAGAATCAGCCTCTAAGTGTGTATGGCCTCTAACCAAAAATTTATATTCTATTATTTCGATCGAAGGGTATTGTTCAAGAATTATAAAATAGCACATGATCATTCAATAGTTTCTGTTCTCCGATGGACAATTATCGGACCAGATTGTTAATTTTTTTAAAGTTGGTGGTACATTTATTGAGTCAATCCATTTAAGTAAGTAAGAGCTCATTTCGTTAACACCGCGATTGGCTACAGACTCATCAAACATGCACCAATATGTGTGCAAATACAATTTTTTGTCGACGGAAAATATGTACTTATAACAAAACCAGCCAAGAGTGGATCATATTTCTACAACTATAAAGGAACATATAGTGTAGTACTGTTTGCTATAGTAAATGCAAATTATGAATTTGTATATGTTCATACTGGAACAAATGGCCGAGTTTCCAATGGGGGAATATGGTCACAAACAAGCATGTGCAAGCGTCTTCTCGCCAAAAAGCTAGACTTATCAAGCCCCACAGATCGACCGGGAACAAAAGATAAGGTGCCTTATGTTTTCATTGGAGACGAAGCATTTCCATTAATGGAAAATTTAATGAAACCATATTCTCAAAAAAGAATTACTCACGAAGAAAAGATATTCAATTATCGTTTATGTCGAGCTCGCAGAGTTGTGGAAAATGGTTTCGGGATATTGGCGTCGAGGTTTCGAATATTTCTACAGCCAATCAATATTAATGTGGACAAAATTAATATTGTAATATTAGCATATTGTGCTTTACATAATTTTTTGCGGAAGACATCTAAAACTAACTATATTACCGATAAGTGTGTCGATCGTGAGGATATTAACAACGGCAGTATAATACCTGGACAATGGAGACAACAAACCGGTAGCACTATGACCAATTTGGAAAACACAAAGGTGACAAACGCTAGTTTTATTGCAAAGAATGTAAGAGAAACATATAAAAACTATTTTAACAATATTGGTAAGGTCTCGTTTCAAGACCGTATGGTAAAATAATAAATAAATACTACAAAAACAATACCTTTCACTTTCTGCTGTACATAGTAATAGGTCATAGTACCAAAGTGAAGGCTCGTAAATGGCATCAACACCTGATCCTGTACGTTTAGAGTCCTCAACCTAACACAAAATAGCTTTGCTAAACACTTTTAAAATAAAATTAATTATAAATACATCTTACCTTCTTCATTTCACGTCTAAAATATGTTCTTATTTTATTTATTTTCTTTTTCATTGTTTCTCTTGTTCCTTCTGGAAACAGTTCCTTAAATTTGGTAAATAGGATATCATAGCTCAAAGCTCATGTTTCGCTTCATCTTATTCGCATGATCTTTTGATTTTACATCCCATAGGTATTTGTTTTCCCTATATAATTCAATAAACTCCTCCCAGAAACATTTTTGTTTAATGTCCATGATAACTGTAATAATTAAATAACAACAATATTCTGTCTTTTAACATGAACCACAAAAGTAGACGGCTTCAATCAAAATCCTAACTGCCGTAGTCGTGACCCTACACACGTTCCAACTTGCGTTCCAACCTTACTTCAAACACGACCGTTGATACGATATTTTATGGAAGCTCCGTACTGCGAACGATTTGACCACTGCCTATTGCGAAGCATCCAATTTGCCTACGCACGTTACGATTTATCGTTACTGCAGCAGTTTAGACTAATGTTGTACTGCATGCAGTATGAAAAATCGTCGTGTGTGTGGGGCGTTTAACACAGACGAAAGCAACGTTGGAATTGGTGCAGTGCTGTCGCAAGTCCAGGAGGGTCAGGAACACAAAACATATATACTGAAGAAGGTTCCATGTTATTTAAGGACAACTCGGCTGACTTCATGTCATTGTCAGTATGATAGCGGCCTTTTTTTGAAGGTGCGCCACGGATACCACATTGTGCAGACATGCCACGCAACGTTGTCAGGTCTACATATAAATCTGAGATTGCTACAATTTTATATATTGAAATTTGATGGAATGTAGGAAAAAGCATATGTTGTACATACCTATATATATTTATTATATAGATCTCATACATTTTTCTGCAAACAAATCAATATTAACATCATTATGGTCCAGAGAGTTTTTATCCCCAGCCTTTGTTAGCAGGTAATTAAAAGTTAGAAAAAATTGAATTGTGTAATTATATTACTATATTTCACAGATTTATATTGATTATAAGAATGATATTATTGTCTGTGGGTACCAGGAAGAATTTGACTGGGTGGTGCTGATCATTGTCAAAAGATAACTTTTTGTGAAATTGTACCTATCACCAAAACTTTTTGAATAGCGGAGATAGGTTGCAAATTTTCTCTGGGGGGACAAATCCTGAAAAAGCCTCAACGTTGTTCACAAAATCATGCTAAATATGTAAATTGGAAGATCCCAGCGGATTCTCAGGAGAGGCTACGGCCCCCCTGACACCTATTTGCGGGCGCCCATGTTATTGTCCAAAAACAACAACATTTAGAGTCCAGAAGGTATCACACACATACAATTTGTTCAATTTTTTGTTCATTTGAAAACATCATCTAATAATTTTTTCGCAGTAACAGCATCCTCATCGATATACATAAACAAGATTCAAAATAACCCAAGTGTATTATGTTAAATCTATATTTTATGTTGACTATAAATAATATATCTCAATGTTCAATATTTAATTTTCATTCGTAGTAAATTGTCTTTAAAAATGAAATTTTGATTCTAATCATCATGTTATTCTTAACGGTGTATCTATAGCCTGTTAATATGGGTACTAACCTCTCTTAAATAAGTCCAAAATAATGACCAATAGATTGATTTGCATCTCCGCCGTTTTTGATCTTCAGCATAGCTTCGATTTCACTGATAGCTGATCTAAAACGAAATATGGAAACTAACTGGCACAAATCATCACTGTTGAACTTTTCGTAGTGCTCCACTGTTCATAAAGTCATGTGGAGATTCTAATAGGTATGATCTTCAAATATTACATTCCTCAAATGATTAATCACTGCATATTTGATCTTCCTGGGGGTCTGCCAGAAGCCTGGCTACTGAATGGGATCGCTTTGACTAACCTTAATCACCGTTAGAGCCTTTTCACACGTCCCGGTTGCCGGGTAGCCGGTGCCGACTATCCGGTAACAGATTTAGCTTGCACACGACCCGGTTTTACATCCAGTAGCGTCTAGACCGTTAACGCGAGTACAGTCATAATTTAATTTTTGCTCTTCACTAATAATGGAACGTGAAACATTTTTTTCATTATGCATTTTGTACCGAAGATACCGCAGTCGGAAAAGAAACTCAAGAAATTATTGGGTCCATCCGATTAACATGAAAAGAGAAGAGTGTGGAGCATTCTATACCTTATTTCCAGACTTACTAAAAGATGAAGAAAGGTTTTTTAGGTACTTTCGAATGTCAATATCCCCTTTTGATCAACTTCATAACAACTTGAAGAACCATTTGCAACGTGAGAATTCAAAGATGAGAAACTGCATTCAGCCTATTGAAATGTTAGCCATAACAACTCGGTAAGTAAAGACATCATTTTAACCAGTGTTATTTATTTTGATAAGTAACAACTATTGAACATACAAAAACAAAATTAATTAATCAATTATTTGGTTAAATGGTTGTACTTGGGGCCGTAATACTTGGGGAACTGGTTGCGATTGAGGAGCTAATATTGGGAGTTCTGGTTGCGAATAATAATGATGCACCGAACGTGCCTTCTGGGCCTTAATTTTTGATATGAGTTTCATAACTTCTAACTAAAATTGTACAATTTCATCATCATTGAAAGTGTTCAAGGTTGGAATTATTCCTTTAAAAAAATATAAATGTCGATTTTGTTCTTCTTCCAGTGCTTTCAGCATTTTTACTTCAACCTGGTCTACATTCTTTCGTTTTCGAGATTTTTAAATGCACATCTTCTTTTTCTGTTTCATCCGCTGCTTTATTTATCGAATCAGAGCTTTCTTGTTCTTGTGTTATACTATCAAATGTTTCTCTTTCTTTAAAAACTTGATTTTAACCAATCAGCTCGAACTACCAAACGCAAGATGTCTTACAGGAACAGATGGTCCGAATATGCCATATTTTTTTGTCGGTGATGAAGCATTCGCCTTACACAAACATCTACTTCGACCGTACGGTGGATCAAATTTAACCTTGAAACAAAGGATTTTCAATTATCGCATATGCAGAGCTCGAAGATATGTGGAGTGTACGTTTGGCATTTAAAGTGATAAGTGGAGAATATTACATCGCGCCATTAATTTGGAACCCGACTTTGCTGTTGATATTGTCAAGGCTTGTGTAGTGTTACACAATTTTGTCCGTGTCAGAGATGGGTATCAACCAGAGGATACTTTAAACCATATTGGGATTTGATGATTTAGCCAGAGAGGAAAAACGACGGGGAGGGCTAGAAGCAAATAACATAAGAAATACTTTAGCAGGCTATTTTTTGACCGAATCCGGAGCATTTAGTTGGCAGATATCTAAAGTATAAGACGTTTGAATAATAAAAACTTACTTACCAAAAGCGTTTTTTTCATCGTCGCCCATTTCATCAAAGTCGTTTTTCAGTAGCACACAGATTTCTTTCCAAGCCTTTTGTGTCGCATTCTTATCTTTATATTCACCGCAAGTTTTATCCCATAAAACCGGTCTACTCTCAACTAATGTTATTAATAATTCAATATCTATATCCATTTTGTAGTAGATAAGACAAGACTGTGGGATAAAACGACCTGCGCGTCTTCTCGGACTGTACCTCGGCGACTAGATCACCGGTACGTATGAACGCTTGTAGGTAGTATCATAAATCACTGTGAATCCCCAACCGGCTAGGCGGCTAGCCGGCAACCGGACGCACAGTGGTGGATCCGGCGTAGACCCGATGGCCGGCTGCCCGGCAAATTACGCCGGTACGTGTGAAAGCTTACATACACAGCCATAGTGTAAACACACAGTGCACGCGAGATTCTCGCTTACCGGTAGTCGAAGCAGATTGGCGCCTGTTTCTCGCGCCGAGATAGCACAGAGTGGATGCCGGTAAAAGCGAGGAAAATCATTTTAAAAACTCGCTAGTCGCGTTCTTTATCTATTCGCAGCAACATGTCGTCTTCTGATGATGATCTGATTGCTTTAGAGTCGATTTCTACCAAAGTAAGAAGGAAAAGGGTTGGAATACATTCTATTAATCGTGAAAGAATAACTTATGGGGAATACCATCATTTATTTCCAAGCTTGAAGAAAGATGATAAAAGATTCTTCCAGTATATGAGAATGAGCCAGGACACATTCAATTATATTTTGGAGAAAGTTGGGAATCGTCTAACCAAAAATTGGTGTAATCTGCATAAGCAACCTATATTACCAGAAGAAAGGCTTGTTATAACTTTAAGGTAAGTTTTCTCGTGAAAAAATAATCAGAATCATTTTCAAAGTATCATACTCATTCAGTAATGGCCTGTTGCGCCAGCACTAGTTCTACTTAACTTGAGATTAGACGTAACATTAGTTCAATTTGTAGATTTCTGTTGCACAGGCTTAACTTGAACTGTGAGTTTTGTGAGTTTAAACATCGCTTTAGTCTGAGGGTTTGTTTATACGTTTGTTTTTTGGTCGATTTCCTGCCTCGTGATCGAATCTTTTCTCTAAACGTGAATCAATTGCAGCGTAAAATGAAATAACAGTTAGATACTTACAAATATTGTTTTATTGATTTTATCAGTTGTACAATAATATTGAGTCATGGATGGATACCATTTTCTGGTAATGATAAAGATACATAAGTTGTATTTTGCTGTTGGTTATTATCAAGGAGCCTAGAAACAGTAGCGGGAAGACTTTGAAACATGACTGATGGTTGGTTTAAGGGAATGGACGAATGCGTAGTTTCTTGTATGTTATGATAGTTGGGAGAAGGCGCGCAGCTATTCTGATCTATGTTATAAGGAGAAGGCGCACTACAATGGGATGATGCAGAAGATGACAGATGAGAAAAGGTGTTATGTTGGTAGGAAAATTGATCCACTAATTCTTGCACGCGGGAACGGAAACATAATATTCTGTTTGCAGGTATTTGCCTTACATGTGGAAGCAAACTTTTGAAAAATGACATATGCTCGTCATCTTGATCACTGCAACCTCTTTTGGCCTTATTTTCGAGATATTCCACTTTGCGTTTTTCTATTTCCAGCATTGATTCTTGATATGCGTCGGTAGCAGTTCTCCTTTTTCTCTGTGCCGTAATGGATGCTGAGGTAGGATTCGTTTTCCTTGAAATAGGAGTAGGCGGTACCACGCAACCTTCACTTTCTCGAGAAGACTCTTCATTATCGCTATTCTCGTTCGAAGATTGAATTTCTTCTGTCTCCTGTGTGGACTGAGCTGACTGCATCATCGATAAATTGCCGCTGGCTGCCCTCGGTTTGATCACGTCCTTCAGGAAAAGAAGTTGTGTGAAATACGGCCATTTGGATGTAGGAAGATCTTCGGCAGCGTCTCCAGACCTTGGCGGGGGGAGTTTTCCTAATTCAACGGAGAACTGGTCCCGCAAATACTTCCATTGCTTTCTGATCTTGACCTCTAAAAAATAAAAATAGAATACTTCTAGGTATCTACAACTTTCTTCATGACATTCACAATCACAGTTTACAAAATTAAGCCCGTGTTAATTAAATTGTAATGAAGTCATGAGTATTTTTTTGACTTTTATCCTGATTTAATTACAGATATCTAGCAACTGGATCATCATTCAAACAAATTGGATTTTCGTTTAGACTTGGCGCTTCAACCGTAGGACAAATAGTTCAAGAAACAGTTTGTATAATATGGGATGTACTACAGCCTATTCATATGCCAACTCCGAAGAAACAAGATTTTCAAAGGATATCAGAAGAATTTAATAATATTTGGAATTTTCCACACTGTATTGGAGCCATTGACGGCAAACACGTTCGCATTGTTTGTCCTAAAAATTCAGGATCACTGTTTTATAACTATAAGCACTATTTTTCTGTTGTTGTACAGGGCGTAGCGGACGCTAATTACAAATTTATTGTTGTAGAAATTGGCGGTTACGGTAAACAAAGTGACGGCGGTACATTTCAGGCCTCCGAACTATATCGTCAATTAAAAAATGGCACACTAGCAATTCCGGAACCATGCAATTTTCCGCAAACAAAAACCAAGGCGCCTTTTGTACTAATGAGTGACGAGGCATATCCACTCCTGCCTTTCCTCTTGAAACCTTTTGGTGGAAGAAATTTGAGTATTGAGGAGGAATGTTTTAATAAACGCCTATCTCGTGCTAGAAAAACCATAGAATGTACATTTGGTATAATCACTGCAAAATGGCGTATACTTTCAAAATGTATTGAAACCAATATTACGACAGCTGACAATATTATTAAATGTATTTGCATTCTACATAACACAATTATTGATAAGGAAGGTTTCGAAAGACATCTTAGTGAAGTATCTGTCGAAAATTGCACAGAAACTACAGGTAAAAAAGCGACGGGAAGACCTCTGAATGACGCTAAAAATATTCGCGATATTTTTGTAACATATTTTGCTCACAATACTTTATCATACAAAACCTAGATTAAGCTTTTCAAATAATACTGCAATATAATGTAAATAATATTACTACAAATACACCTAGGTACTTACCATCCTGTTTTATTTCAATGCTTATTTCCTTCCAGTATCTGTCAACCACATTGCGATTGCTATGTAGCTCATCCCTCTTGTTCCAAATAGCTGTTCTTTCAAACACCGCAGCAATAAGCAATTCTTTATCCATCACAATATACTACTCACTCGCGCGACAAAAGCCGAAATAAACTAAATTTTGAATACCGTGAGCGCCTGCGAGCAGGTTATCCGCGCGGACCTGCTGCAACCTGTTTTCACTGTGTACGTTCATATGAATACACGTGATAATTCTTAAAGCGATAAACGCGAGATGGCGCAGGTTACCGGTAAGCGAGAATCTCGCGTGCACTGTGTTCTTACACATACACTTCGCCGCCGGTTATCCGGCACCGGCTACCCGGCAACCGGGACGTGTGAAAAGGCTCTTATGATTTGGAGTTTGTCTCCTTTTCCTATACTATTTACAACCATATTACAGCTTTGTGTACTTACATATTTATGCTTCACAACTCGGAACAAAAGGCATATGGCTCAAAAAACACAATAGGGATTTTATTGAATCAAAATGAAATATTGGAAAGTAAAGCTATTTTTGCAATACGCAGGAAGAAACCCGCGGAATTTTAAATCTTGCAAATCAGAAAACGTAATTTATCAATATGCCGCTATTATTATTTTTTTTGCCGCTATGGTTATCATGTTGTGCACTGGCAATACCGCTTTGTTTCCCGTATGAGTTTCACCCCCTTAGTCAGGAACGTGTCATCGGGTATTTCAGCAAAACCTCATCGAGAGACTAGACGAGACTATTACAAATATATGTCTACGGGTGGAAGTTCCTGATTCGGTTACGCCATGCGGCACTGAAGTGGCTGTTTAAGAATCTCGAAGGACAAGTAATGACATGGGTGGAGCGGCTTGCCGAGTACGATTTCGAGAACGATCATCGTGCTGGATTGAGCCATCGCATCACCGACACCTTGTGCTGGAGGCCATGCCCACCAGAGTGCTCTTACCGCAGTAAGCTCGAGGAGACGACCTTAGTAAATGATTCCTCGTTGGCTTATAATAACCAAGAAGACCATGAGCGCGACCCTGATATCAAACGGCTGAAGCAGTGGAAGGAAGATGACCCCGTCCCACTGGGCCCAGTGGACCTCTCAGGTGCTAGAAGATGACGTCTTGAACCGAGCCGTGAAGAACGAACATGTAGCGGAGGCTGAAACTGGTGATGTCAAGTACCGGGTGCCCGAGGTTCTACGTCAGCTCTACGATGGAACGTCAGGGAAATACAGGGGCGTCATGAAGATCATTGGGAAGGTTCGAGAGCGGTTTTACTGGGTGAACTGCTCGGAAGTCGTCAGTCAGTGGCGCTGAAAATGCACAACGTGTTCAGCTATCAATGGACCGCTGCGGCAGCCGAACGCCAAGATGAAGCAGTATAACGTGGGCAACCCATTCGAGAAGATAGCTATCGACGTTCCGGAGGCGTTTCCAGAATCGGAGAATGGGAACAAATACATCCTTCCAGGGGCTACTTCAGTAAGCGGGCCGAAGCGTGCGCTATCCCTAACCAAGCAGCTGCCACAGTTACAGATGTTCTGGTGGACAACTTTATCATCCAATTTAGAATCCCGGTAGAGTCTGCGAGAAGCTGGGCACCAGGAAAACCAGAAGTACGGCGCTGTACCCCCAATCGGATAGTTGGTGAAAGGATAAACGGGACCAATGGAAAGTACCCGTCAAAAGTGGTGTCCAGCTACTAGTGTGATTGGGACAGGTATTTCCCCATGTTCCTGATGGTGTATCGTTCTGCAGACTCCCGCGAAATTGTGCGATGTGGCAGGTGACGACTACGTATCCACCGAGGAAGAAGTTCGCAATCAGATCAAAATTGCGAGTGACCGGATGAAGTACCGTTACGGCCTCCGCGCCGAAAAGCGTGACTATCAACAGGACGAGCTGATGCGGCTGTTTAAGCCCCAATAGAAAAAGGCCTTCCACCAAAGCTGCAACGGGCCCTGGAAGGCTCTTACGAGGTTCTGAAGAGGATCAACTGGATCCGGAAGGATGCTAAGGGAAAGCCGAGAGTCGAACACTTCAACTGATTGACTTTGTTTGCCGAAACAAACGAGGAAGCAGGCGCCCACCACCTTCAAGCAGAAGATACTGAGTTTTCGTTGGAAGAGAACAAGTCAGTTTTTGAACGAATTTTTGGCGAAAAAAAGGATTCAGTCTTGATTCGATTTAAGAAAAAAATTGAGATGAACCAAATGCTTGAATGTCGCTTTTTGTTCCTAATATCTCCATATGATGTCTAAAATTCATGATTTATTATCCATTATTTGTTTGTATCCACCCCATTTATAGTGCCCGTGAATTTTAAAACTTATATGCAAATAATATTCTATTTGAAGCACAGTCTTTAGAATATAATAATATACAGTGTAGTATCAATATACAAAATGATTTAAATTGCTAAAGTTGCGTTATGCCTCGCTTTAATGGAACACCCTGTATAAGCAAGAATTTATGTGGCACAGCACGTGATTCTAGAGAGCTCTTGAACGAAAACTGTTTCCCTAATTCTCCCGTATATGTTGAGTTGATAAACGGTCCTGTCTTGTATAAAAATAAAAAACCCAATATTCTGAAATTTTCTAGACTTCCTGGGACAACCACTCCAATAAAATTTGCCTAGACTCTACCTCGGGTAAATAGTATTAGTGAAATGGGTTCATACACGCTTCGACGTGCTCATATTGCCATGATGATTGGAAATTTCCCAATCATCCACGCGAGTAAATTATTGTTTTGATTTGCACATAATCCACCATCATGCCGAATCATCTAGAAAATATTCGCGAAAAAGACCATATTGTTTTTTCACAAATATCCATTACGGTAGAATAACAGCTGATCATCGAGTAAATTCCTTATATCGACAAATGACACATAATTTTGACGAATCCGTTAAGGCCAGGTAGACGGAACCGTATTTTGTTTTCGTTTTTTGAACGAAACAGATTCATTTTGTACTTGCTGAAAAACCTCTTTTATTTATAAAAGTTCATTTGCATACAAAAACGCTATAAGCAAGTTTTATTAGATTTACAAACGATTCATTATTGCCAACGTTATAGACTAATACAAACATATCACTTGCTGATCAGCTGCTCACCTCGGTAAACGTCAAAACGTGATGGATAATCGTGAAATAGAGTTTATTCATTATTAAACTGGAAAAAACGGTTAACAGCAAATGTAATTTTTACTTTCCAACGCTTGTATATTCAACTAACTTAAAAAAGTATTTTACATAAATCGTAGATCAATTTATGACAAAGTGATCTGATTTTTGTTTTTCTAGGGTTCCATTCATGTAGTAACTGATAAAGTAGACACGAAGCACGCCGAAACGATTCTTTCAAATAAAAAACCTCGTTCATTCCGCGTGGAAAATGTGATTTTAGGCTCGGTTAATTTTGTCTACGATTGGACTGGCCTAAAAGTATTAGGGGACAATTTTAAAGTACCTGAAAATAAGTAACCCATATAACACTCGAGTAACATGTGGACTGCATTCCAAAAATATATGTCTTTGGCTTTCGTTTGCGATTCATGGAGTCTTATATGTATGTAGGGTAGTAGATACCCATATACTCGTACATACATCTTGCTATAAGTCCAACGGGCATTCTAAAAGAATAACGGAAGTGCTTTAAATGTACAGTTCACCTTAAAATACCTATTTGGAGTAAAATCATAAAACCATCGGACGGCGTCCCTACGCCACTGGAGTTCCTAACCTCAAATTTTTTATTTCACTTACCAATTAAAAGGAAAGCCTTCTGCTTCAGGCTGCAAACACAAAAAATAATTCAAAACCACATAAACGCAAATGTACGATAATGCATACACACACTACAAAGCAATTCAGTCGAAGGTCAAACCAGTTATCGTAAAAAAAGACCCGACGTTGCTAAACGTCATGCAGTCTTGAAAATAGTTGCACTGTTTTCTTGCAAAGCTTACGATATTCGCTCGACACTGTTTCAGATTCATGGAGCCTCATACTTTCCAGACTAGTATACAGGGAGATCCAAAAAACATTTACGAGGTAACGTGTACGAGAGAGAAGCGCGAAAAGGGTGCAATTCGTATTAGAAAGAGTGCGCCAATGGCAACGCGGCAAGCCGCAACTGAGTCCGCGGCCTCGTTACTCTGGTTACTAGGCAATGTGGTACTTCTATCTCTTCCTAACATACGTATTGCATGTTTCTCGCACTTCAGTCTAGTACACATTACGACGTCAGTGTATATGGATTTTTCTGTAGATTCTGGCTGAGACTGTGTTCATATTTATAACAAACGTTAGTTCAGATTTCCACATGTATAATGGCAACTGTGTAAAATACGGTAACAACATCCCATTGTCTGAATTGGAAATTTTTGTTAATAGATATGTCTGTCTCTATGCATCGTCAGTGACTTTTAAGTAAGCCACACACTGTGAGACTTGCCTCGAGGTACGTCGCGAGGCGAGGTCTCATGATATCGGCAGACGTCAGTCCCCAGTCACTCGTCACCCCACACCTTGAGACAGTATCGCAGACGGTATCACACAGTTCGCTATTTTTTTGAGAGTGAATATAAAATGGCCTTTCATGAATATTCAAAAAAACAAAAAGTTGCACTTGGTGTTGCCATTGGTTTGGTACTATTCGAGGAAAAACAGGAAAAAAGAAAATGGTCAAAGAATTGGTTTCTTGAAAGGAAGAAGTTCTCTCACATGCCACTTTTAAAAGAATTGCAGCAAAAAGAACCCAAAGATTTTTTGAACTATTTGCGTATGAACGAAAAACAATTTAATTTTCTTTTAAATTTAATCCGGCCAGACATTGAAAAGAAAAATACTGTATTAAGAGAAGCGGTATCAGCTGAAGAGCGATTGGTCGTTACTCTTAGATATTTAGCTACTGGTCGAAATTATGAAGATCTGAAATTTTCCTGTGCTATTTCTCCACAGTTACTGGGTGAAATTATTCCAGAAACTTGCTGGGCAATATACAACGCTTTAAAGGAAAAGTATTTGAAGGTACGTTTTTATAATATACTTTTTATTATTTTAAATGCAAAACATATTAAACATTAAACTTAGCTAATGCTGTCAAAAAATACTTATAATTCAGTAAACGAGTAGTAATACAGTTAACGTAATATTCCAGTGGCAGAACTAGTCTTGGAAGTTTTCATAATATGAATAAATATCTCCCTGTGCAGTTGGTTGTTGAGGTTGCTGCTCAGATTGCTGTACTGTATAAGCTATATTGGAAAAAGTATTACTCGGTTCCACATGGGTGCGGGCCTGTCGTACTTCAAAGTTTTCATTTAACTTATTCAGTTTGCCGTAGTACATTACATCATTTATAAGCTTTTCTGCAATTACTCTCTGATTAGATGTCATTTGCTTTAAATCAGAAGCAAATTTTTTTCCTGCTATGTCGCAGGGATTTTCAGGTTCCGCACATGTAGGGGGTTTAGACAAAGCCCTATGAGCTAGTTCCACAAGTTCATTTTTTTTCTCCTCCATTCCTTTTTTTCTTTTTAATATTTTAGTTCCTAGTGTTGGAGTTGATGTTGAAGCCGATGAACTTGGCCTAGTAGTACTTGGTAAAGATTCCGAGTGAGCAGGAGGAGAAAAAGCGTTATCATAACTGTCCTCATCTCGAACATTGTTTTGATTCTAAAACAAATAATTATTATTAATTCAAACAATTTAATACTACTTTTTTATTACAGTTTCCATCTTCCGAGGAAGAATGGCGCGGGGTTGCAAAGGAGTTCGAATGTTTGTGGCAATTTCCCAATTGCGTGGGTGCGATCGATGGAAAACACATACAAATAAAAAAACCTAGAAACAGTGGTTCATATTATTATAATTATAAAGGAAACTTTAGTGTTGTGCTAATGGCAATTGCAAATGCAAAATACGAATTTATAATGGTTCATTGTGGGACCAATGGTAGGGTATCAGATGGTGGAGTTTTGAGTGAAACCAAGTTTTATGAAAAGCTTATAAATAAAAAATTATGTATGCCCGATCCGACAGAACCCCATGCAACCAATGTGATGTTACCATATACATTTGTTGGAGATCAGGCTTTTCCATTAACTGAAAATTTAATGAAACCATATCCAGACAAAAATTTAACAAGAGAACAAAAAATGTTTAACTACCGACTCAGTAGAGCACGCAGAGTATCAGAAAATGCATTTGGTATTATGGCCTCACGATTTAGAATTTTTCACACAATAATTAGCATAAATGTAAGACATGTGGATGCTGTAGTATTAGCCAGTTGTGCATTACACAACTTTTTAACACGAAATGGCTCAAATCGATATATACCGCCATTGTATGCAGACTCTGAAGACGTACATTCCGGAGAAATAATACCTGGCCAGTGGAGAGAAATAGGAGAACTTATACCTCTGCAACGAATAGCGCGTGCTTCAAATGTGTCTGCGAGAGAAATTCGAGATAATTTTAAAAATTATTTCAATAACAGCGGAGCAACCGATTTTCAGGACAGGATGGTCGTTTAAAGAGTATTAAGTTTTTATACTGAAATGTCTTAAATAAAATAATAAACTACTTACTGTTATTTCACTCTCTTGACTTTCGTCTTCGCTAGTAATAGTTTCAATTCCTTTTCTAGGGATTTCAGTGTCCGAAATAAAACTTAACAGGTCAAAATACCAAAGGCTGGGTACATATACATCATCAGCTTGTGTACCCGTAGGCTTCGACTTCTGTACTTTTTTCAGCTCTCTTCTAAAAGCACAGCGCATGTTATGTATTTTTTTTGAGACATAATCTCTATTTGCCATTGGATATATTTCTTTGCATTTTTCCACCAGTCTATCTAACGCTGAGTTTTTCAAATTTCTATCCATATACGTTTTAGCTTTCACATCCCATAAACATGGGTTGCTCCTGTACATTTCAATAAATTCTTCCCAAAATTCTCTTTCCTTATTCATCTTCTTTATTACATATAATAATTATAACAATTTCGGAACAACGAAATCTCACGAGATTCATGCGACTTTGGCACACACGTTGAGACTGGTCAGATTTTTCCTCGCGGCAAGTCTCAGTCTCCCGCCCGCGTCGGTCTCGTTGAGACGGTATCACACGATACAAAAATTATCGATACCGCAACACACACCATGAGATTTGTTATCAGAGATCTTGGTCTCGCGGCATGTCGCGAGGAAGATCTCACAATGTGTGGGCTACTTTAGGAAGGACGTAAACTCATTGTGTATTTAGCATTGAAAATAACTTTTTTAATGAATCATTGCAAGTATTGTATTATTTTGCAATCTTAGTACCTGCGTTACACAGGATTTGATTTGAATCAAAATATATTCTAAACTTATATCAACGAATTATGTTAATTGGATTATTTGCTGCTGTTATGGATAGTATATACCATATAACTGTTTTTGTTGCCCTCTATTGTTTTATAATTATTTATTATTGGATTTATTACCTTGGTAACATCAGATTGTTGACTTAGTGTGCCAAGTTTCTGCCTCGTAATTATATTTCAACCAAAATAGCAAGTACATGCAGTGCTTTTGGAAAAGGTCAGCCCTTACTTATTTTTTGAATGACTTAAATTAGTAAGTTGTGGATTGTGGTGATGAATTTTTTGTGTGAATATAATTTAATGTAGAAAGCAGTGAAAAATATCAAAATGGCGGCTCCGATCCATATTCTATCATTTTTTTAAATGAAGGGTCATGAAATACCTCATTTTGAAGCTCCTTTGTCAGTAGTCTATAACCCCAGAATGTAAATTTATATTTTGCAAAATGGTAAAGTGGCGTTCAACTAATCAGAAAAACGTTATAGTATGTTTACTTCGACCTTCTTCTTTTAAAAGGGACTATCTGAATTTGTAATAATATTTATGTGGCATATTCAATTAAAAAAACTTAAGAGATTTTTAGAGGAATATTCCATATTGTATTACATTTTCGGATAGATAGGGTATTTTACTGTTTGTAATTGAGTTTGTTCATTCTGTCGACGTCAGAAATGGTTATTTATTCGTTTTTGGTTGTAACTTTGAAACTATACCGTCATTTGAATATTATATATAGTACATATATAGATACTGGGGTTGAACGGGATAAATTATTTACAAGTCTCGAATCGATGCCTGACTTGACAGCAAAATGTAGTGAATTACTTTACTATTGTTTTTAGAGTAATAATGCATTTAATAAAATGGTTAGTTAAATTAGTCGGTCATTTCAAAAACCACTTGTCAATTTTTCCTAAATTTGCTTTTTCTAATACTAATAGACGTCCATTGCTTAAACGACAACATAAGTGGTTTTCACATGCACTGATTAATATGATTATTTTGCTTAAATTATAAACGACTAATCCTATTTATTGCTAAAACAAAATATGTTAAGAACACATTTTCTGATTGCTTTACACTGTGAACGAACTATACTAAGCGTAAAAAATTATTTTAAAACTCGTTTATTTATGAATGTCTCAGTTTTTATTGATTTCTCAGAAATTGTGTTACGGTATGTGGTTTTTGATATGACTGATTCAATTCCTTATCAAAATATTTGAGACCGAATTACGTTAGTATTGCTGTTTCTTGGAGTTTTTGAATTTTGAAGCATATACTACTGCAGTCCTCTTTCACGCAAAAGTGAAGCAGGCCTGAAGTAAGCTACTATGTTTGATAACATAAAACGACTAAACAATTCAACATTTCAAGGGAGTAATTCCTATGAAAAATTTGGACTGTTTGGATTTCTCAATAATTGTGAGGTTCTTTTCTGTCTGGTAATACCAAGGTACATCGCTAGTCTGTAATATCAATTTACTATATGTGTATATTTGTTTTTTCGATAATTTATTAGACTTCGAAAGGATTATATGAGGGAGAGAAATGCCGATAATGTAAATAAAGTTCGTATGTTATATATAAAAAGGCTGATGGATATTGTAGGGTGAAGGCAGATTCATTTCGTCACTAAAATGTTGGTAGTTATTTATATAGCGAAGTTTCTTTTCTAATCGAATGTCAATATTTAAGGGTTTAAGAAGAAATCTACAGGATGATAAAGCTTTCAATATAGAAAGTCAGTGACGCACCACTGACGTTCCGTAAAAATAAAACACTAAAATCTGTATTCATTTGTGAGCAGATTCGATCTCTTGAATTTTTTTAGTCCGACACGGCGTGCGGCTGGCTTTCTGCATTCTGTATCTCAAAAGCTAAAATGCTAGGATACACACATATGAAGTTTTGATCTTGAACTCGACCAAAAAATTGCTCCCTTAAGTATTGACATTCAATTAGGAAACACCATGTATAAAAGAATAGGAACATTCTAGTCATAATTGTAATTAAGCGGGGATGGGCGTGCTTTCTCATACATATTTTCAGCCGCTTGTTTTGTACAATCGTGTAAATACATTTTTCCAATTTGTATTTGACATTTTATTTCCTGAGTCAACTTCATGTCAAATCGTCAAGTTTTATGACATGAGTGTTTCAATAGAAAGAAGTTCCATGATCATCTATTCGTCATTGCGTTCCAGGGGATGTTCTGTTACTTTTGTCAAGTTATTTCGTTATTTGATTTCAAGACTGGTGCTGGAAGGAGGTGGTTAACAACTAAAAAAAAGTAAGGATTTTTCAAGCAACTCTAACGCGTCGTTCATTGTCGCAGGGTGTTAAGCTTCGCGCGATTTCGGCAAATGAAAAATGTCGATTGCGAACTTGATGAATCTTTGTGTGTTTCCTATTTTAAATTCCTGTAGTTTTGTCTCATCTCCTTGCATAAAAACCGTATCGTCAATCGTTCCTACAATTGTATGGCGCCTTTATGGCCTCCTTGATTTTCATAGTCTTATCTCTCCTTCACAGAGGCTGGGGTATTTCTAGATTTCTACTGTTCGGTGTCAGCGCTCTCCTACTTATGGTTTCTTTTGACTTGTAGGAAATTTACGGCTGATAAAATAGATGAGAAAAATCAAAAGCACCAACAATTTGATGCAAATATATATTTGTCACATAACCTCAAAATAGAGCGGTTTCTGAAGGACAGAAAAAAACTATGAAAATCAAGGAGGCCAACGCGCCCTATAGTTTTCTAGTGTTCCGTGTCAGCGCTCTATTTTGAGGTTATGTTCCAAATATCTTATTTGCATCAAATAAATTGTTCATGGTTTTGGTTTATATCATCTGTTAAGGTGCGTTCAGAACTGAGCACGCACGCACTGATCCACCGCGAATGCTCAAGTATAAACCGCTAAGCGCCAGCAACAGCGAACACTCCGCCTGTTGTCGGTGTCAAGACGTTGCTCAAAGGCATTAATGGGTTCGCGAATGCTGAATGTGGACCGAAACGACAACGCGGCGCACAGGATTAAAGAGTTTCTTGTATTTAGTCCAGTAAATGATGAAATGGAGAATATACTAAGGTTCTAAAACCCTTGTAAGAGTTTGACAAATTTTATCGGTACAGTGGGACGTTAGGCACGAAGAGTATTATTCAAAATCGAAAAAAAAAATGGTGCATGGAAACAACTAGTAATCAATTTATACTGTTGCGAAGCACAGAAAAAAATTAAAAGTCTGATGGGCTCATTTCGTCTTTAAAAAAAGCAAAATGAAGATTTTGACACTTTAAAAAGATACTGCAAACAGCTGTAGGTGTCTCCAGTTGCCAAAAAAAAACGCAAGTTTATGACTACACGTTTTCTTGATGATACAGATTTTCGAAACTGTTATCAGTTTTTAATATGGTTGGTGTTACCAACATAAAAGCAGGTATTCAAAGTCAGCCTTAATCATTCTTGTAAAATTACTGAATTGATCATGCAGACTGTTTAATAATAATTCCTTTCGTTTCCGATTTTCTTTTATTTTAATTAAATTATACAGTATAGTAAATGTTGTCGCGTCTATATGTCTATTATCTATGTTAATCTCGTGCGCGAACGACTGGATCAGCCCATGCGTTGAAAAATGAATTTCAGTTTAAACACTCTCCACGCACGCGTCTTTATATCGGCCTGAAATGTCTTACAATTCAAAAAGAAAACATAGGAGAGCGCTGACAGAACAGTAGAAATCTATAAATACCCCGGCCTTTCTGAAGTGAAGGAGAGAAAAGACTATGAAAATCAAGGAGGCAATAAACACGTCCTACATTATTATTGTAGGAACGACTGACGATACGGCACGAGCGTGATATTTTCACATGACGTGAGTTTCGTCCGGCTCGCGGCGCTCCCGTATTTTGACTGTTCAGTTGAGGCTAGCTATTTGAAACGGACTCAGCGCGGAATAAGAAAGTACTAGCCATGTACTTGATGTGGAGACGGCGAATAAGAAGAAGAAATCGCCGGTTTTGGATTCACCGATTGCTGAAAAATCGACATAGTTCTGGGTCCTTCCAAGTTTTGTTTAACTCATTGCGGAACAGTGAGAAAAGATTCTTTTCGTACTTTCGTATGTCGATCGAATCATTTGATGAACTTTATGATCTTCATATGGAAATTTCGTCTTCAAATTGACCAAGGATTCGATGGTTAAGGTTTTTCTACATACTTTATTAACACCCTGTATATTTATTATATTTTTTTCTAATTCGGCAATTTGTAAACTCTCAAAACGATAGGGTTCACTTGAACGAGCGTCCTTTCGAGAATTTGAACCACCGGTTGGTCACCCGGAAGCAGCACGCGCCACAAATAATGGTTTGGGCCTCTGTAACCGCGGATATGGGCACTCTCCAATCGTTTTCATTGAGACTGGCGTCAAAGTAAATGCGACAGACTATCGGTAAGGTGTTCTGGAGGCTGCTTTAAAGCCGTGGGCATACAAACATTTCAGCCGAAGGCCATGGACATTTCAGCAAGACTAGGCGCCGTTTCACACAGCGCGAATGAACCAAGAATGGCTGAAAAACAACTTCATTTTGACCACAATGGCTCTCGAATTCACCCGACGCAAATCCAATGGATTATTCTACCTGTCCCATTTTGGAGAGCTAGGAAATACAGCAGCCTCGAGACACTGAAGAAAGCCATTGTCCGTTAGTGGGCCAAAATATCGTCAAGTCGCATTCGGGCAGCTTGCGATTCGTTTTTGGACCGTTTCAATGCTATAGTCAGGACAAAAGGTGGTTCATATTGAACCAAAGTGAATCATTTCTGCATTTTCGAATATTTTCAAACATTCTGTACTTTGGAATAAATAAAAATCATTTTCCAAACCGAATTTATGGCATTTTGAATGCCGGACCCTGTAGAGGCCTGGGCCGTGCGGCGTAGGGTAGTCCTGCGGGAATTTACGCGCCGCTCGGCATCTGCGCCGTACGGCGCGTAGTGATGTAAAATAATTAAGTAACGCTTACAAAATAATCGTTACAAATGAGTAACTAAATGTAACGAGTCCGACTTTTTGAGAAGACTCGTTACTTTTTATTTGAATTCGTTACTTTGAATGCGATACGGTCTTTTTCTATGTATACTTTTTAATTACTGTTAGTTACTACACTATACATTACTTTAGATACAAACGTTACTGGGATCTAATGTAGCCAGTACTGCCAGCGCCAGCAGCAAGTGACTTGGTTCTTGGATGTAAACTGGGTGGAAATGAAATGATGCGAATATCGTTAGGCTTAGGCAACTTTAGATACTCTTCTATCAAACGAGTTGCGGACTGCGGAGCTTTAGGTTGGCAATGTTTGTGTACACCTGTATACTTTTCATTTGACTGTGAGAGCTAGCGGTTGACGGGTTGTTACTGGTTTGGACGTTGCCGTACAAGCTCGAGCAATAATATAATTATTATTTGTACAAAAATATGGAATCATCCGCGTCCGGTTCAGGAGAATCGCAAAATCAAAAAAGAAGTGTTATTTGGATGCATTTCACCAATATATCGGAAGCTAATGCAAAGTCTAATCTTTGTAAAAATATTTATTCGCATAAAAATGGAAACATTAGCAATTTAAGGAAGCATTTGAAAACTAAACATCCGACTCTTTCATTGGAAGGAGAAAGGGCAAAACGGCGGGTGGATGACGAAAATATGCCTAGGTGCAAAAAGAACTTAGTTTCAGGTATGTTTTATTATTATAAGTATTTTGTTGAACACCATTTACAGTGGAGTAACCAGACTGTTAAGTAGGGCAGGGGAGTAACCAGACTGTGAAGGCAGGAGACGCTACTCAACTAAAGTGAACAGTGAGGAGAGTGGTTCCTCCACGGTCCCCATCTGGTATGCCACTTGTTAAAAACTATTTACAGCGTACAGCCAACGAACCAGACGTCACACAACGACGAGTTTAAAATATAAGTACCTTCTACGTATCAAATATCAAAAAAATTAATAGGCAAGGCATTAGACAAAAAATAATAATTGGATCAATCCCAAAGTAATAATTTGATATAATATATAGAATTTAGGTTCTAAACGAAATGTCCAAATAGTAACTAAACTAACGAGTCCAAAGTTCGAAAGTAACAGTGATGAAGGCCACAGAACACAGCTGTAACTTGCTGCAAGCAACGCCTTGCTTTCTACGTTCACATATCTATCGAATCTGTTTGAGATCAATTCCAGATCGATCCTAATGGTTCTCCGATTTTAGGTGGAACTGAAAGTTCAGGATAAATACAAATTCTGCAAAATTGCATTATTGGTTTGACTGTGGAAGCAGGAAAAATATATAATATTTATTTATGTACGCACTCAAAGATACAGTTTTAAATAAATTAAGAACAACAAATGAACCCTAGTTCATCGAGTTCTTGGTTCTTGGAGCGTCCAACCATATTTTTTTAAGTTGTCGGTTGACTGTTTACCAACTTTCTGATGTTTGCCAATAAACCTAACCTCACTTATGCTATTCTATACATTGTTTTCATCATTGTATACACATTATATACATCGAGACGTAAACAATTAATGTATACGCGTAAACGCCCATCACTGCACCTTGTAATCATACTGCCAAACTAACAATGAAAATGTGAAACATACACATTTATTTTCAAAAGTATTGTCGGACTATCCAATTGATGCCTGATGATGCTTTTAGAATGATGGCGGAACACGTCTACTTCTGTGTAAATGAGTCGAATTCATATTTTAGTGTAGATATTCATTTTCAAGGTGTCTAATTATAGATGAAGCCAACTACAAGTCGCTATGAACTTGCCTTCTTGAGCTCTCTTTTGATACATAGTGTGACTCAGATTAGCTTCTCTATCGGGATCTCGGCTCCTGTTATACCTACATCGAAGATTAAACGGGGAAAGTTTTAGAGGAGACTTAGTGCTTTCGATAGCCAGCTTCAGATTTAGGATCTAGGATTGGTTTTGAAAATATCAGCGAAAGACCGAAAATGGCGGAATTTGTTTTTCGTCAGTAAATACAAAACGATTAATTTAACAGCTGTCAAAATGTGAGATTATTATTTCACGAGTATCCATCACGGGACCATGACAGCTAATTACCTAGTAATATTTCAAAATTCTCCATATCGACAAAGGGCAAATTCTGACGGATCTGTCAATGCCAGGTAGACAGCCATATTTTAATCAAATCCAAGCGAATAACCAAAATTTCTGTGTTATGTGCCGCGGTTATAATATGGTTCAAGATGACACACGGGTTGATGACGTCAGTTACACGAATCGCTTGAACGCGTTGGTTTTAACCGCGGTTTTGTTGCAAGTTGTTTATTTTAGAAAAGTGCATATATAATCTCTGATTATTTTTATTATCACTTAATAATCGGTGCTTTTTCGTCTACAACTGTGTATGGAAAGTTTAAATAAGAAACCTTTCATAATATTCATTGGAGAAATGTTTTTTTCAGATTCTTTTTTTAATGATGGAACCATGGCTTTGTAGCTATGATAACTTTCAATTCTCTAAATTTTTCCGCATGTCAAAGAAAACATTTATTGATTCAGCAGAAATGATGACAAAAGAAATTAGCAAAACCGTATACAGGTAGATATCATCTAGTGAGTTTATATGGCCATATTTTAATATTCTTGTGGTATATGGCTACACAGGATACTTTGTTAAGCATAGGAACTACATTTAAAGTGTCCCCAACAACCGTAATGAGTATAACTAATAAGGTGCTCCACTTTATGGTAAAACAGAAGTCAGCCTGTATCAATTTTCTCAAAAATGAAGCTGAAGTACAATAACAATATCCAATACCCGCCAAAATTCTAACTTGTCACATTTCAAATAATAACCAGAAATATAAAACTACTCTTGAGTTGGGTAAATACCACAATTTTGCGGTGATAACTATGACATATAACAGCTGATTCGTGACGTCACGGATCTTATAACCAAACTGATAACTACACTCGCTTGAACGGATCGGTAAATACCAACCCAAAATACCATTTCCATTTGGTTATCCGCTTGAATTTGATTTTTGTTTTAGTTTTTTGTATGCTACAGACATTCGTCGAACTGTCCCGAGTATGGAGGCGTTTTTCTGCGTCATATTTGTTCTATCACTGCAAAAACATGGCGACAAAAGTCATTCGTGTTGCCGATTAATATGCATATGCTTTAAGCGTTCTTTCAGTATCTTCAACATTTTTGTCTTCAACCACCCCTCCTCCGTGAGTTTAACCTACTTTCTCTAATCTTCCTGACATAAACAAAGATGTTGTGATGTGTTTCAAATAATTTTGTCAAAATGGAAACAGTGCAAAAGCTCAAGAAAAAAGGGAAGTCTGATGGTGAAGAAGAAAAAGCACCAGTGTTAATCCGAAATTCTACGGATTTGCAACGTATGAAACTTGAAAAGCTCATGAAGAATCCTGTAAGCATTTTTTGCGAATATTAAAAAAACATTATTCACTGGAGAATGTGGTCCACATCTTTGTAGGCAATGAAAATGCCTCCAAAATGAGGCCTTATATTTTCAATTTGCTGCAGCATTCAGTTTACTATTGCAAAAAAGGGACAAAAACCGTTAATTTATAAATTTATTTCTTACCTAAAAGTGCATAACACTATATCTGAAATAATAGACAAAGCCTTTGTAGTGGACATTACAAAAAATCAATTTAAATTCTCAACAGTGACTTTGAATGTATCCTATTGGGTTCATTTTCTGGCTACAGACTTGTTATAATCTGTGCTTATGTTAACATCATACTAAAAGAGAAAGCAGGTATTCTCGAATTAACTGTGAAGATATGGCTTGAAAAATGTAGAATGTTTGCCTTACAATATGCATACAATCAAGGAGTTATTATCATGAAAACTAAAGGATAAGTTTCAGGACTTACATTAAGTCTGTCAGTGGCGGATTTAGATGGAGGGCGCGCGCCCCCCCTATAATTCTGACAATTGCTTTTGTAATCTAACACCATTGTGTTCCTTTCTGACACATCATGGCAACAGAGGCATACTAAGTATAAGTTATAGCTTTAGAAACTGAGCATTGCGATTTTTTGTATTCCAAATGCTGTCCCACTTTGACATCACTTGTTTACAGCACAATTCTTACGATTTATACATATATACGAGTTTTGTGACTTCTGACAAATCTAAGTCTGTTTTTAATATATTAGCTATACAGATTGCCCTTAAAAAGTGAATCACATTCTGTTTGTTGCTCAATAGTTATCTGAAAAGTGTGTAAAGCTTGACAGATTTTGTTGGGGTTTGGTATTGCAGTGAAGCACTATGTTAGATGAATGCCTAAATTGGACATAGACATTCATGAGGTTTATTTAGTGATGCGCCTGTGGCCTGTCCAGAAACTGCGTCGATCGACGCTCAAAGTCAATACCACACGTCCCGCATCTCTTCTCGTGTATGTGTCTATTTATGTTGCTATATTGAATTTGTTTAAATCACAGAGCTGCTTCACTATATGTAAATATGTACAGTCCTGTATTCCTGTACTTGTTTCGTACAAAAATACATTATCAAAATAATTAGGATCTAACAGATATAGTTTTTCCAAGGATTCCAAGGATTCATGCGATCAACACCAGTTCAAAAACTGAGAAAACAACAACTATGCCGTAATTCTAAGCTCGACAATGAAAGTCTGAAAAATAACTGTAACATCTATATTGAATTTCAAAAACCCCAAACCCTACTGAGTGGGGCCATGGCAAATGCTTGTTCCGGAAGTTGTATCCAGCATACAACTTACTCCCATTCAAGTGATTGTACACGCGTTAAGGAATCAGTAGCGATTGCCGGGTGGTGGTACAAGTCCGCCAATGGGCCACTTTAGGCCTATTTAATATCAATAACACGCAAAAAGAAGGTGGTAGACACGGACCAGTCCACCAAGGGGGCACCACCCGCTAGCTTTTCCCAGGGTGTCGTATAAATGTCTGCATGTTTCCACCCACACCTAAGCTATGCAGTCAGTTATCTTCCAAAACAAAGAAATTAATTATGTTCGATCCTCGAGTACTAAGAATTCCGGACGTAAACTCACTCTACTCTCGGAATGTCGGGGGGATAGTGGATTCGAGGGAACAACATCGAAGATAAAATTTGTTTCACGAACATCTGTGGGATTAACAGCAACATTGATGCTGTTCATCACTATTTGAAATTCAATCGTCCCCCCATGCTTTTCTTGACGGAGACAAGAATCTCAGAGTCCGCACCGATTAACCAACTTAGCTCCCCAAATTTCGAGGTGCACTCCAATCTGAGAAAGAACGGGGGAGTTGTCCGCAGCAGTCTTTCCTGCTACAGAGATGTTTCTCTGGAATCAGACCGGAAGGACATTCTGTGGCTTCGCCTCAACTCCAAAGCATTCCGCAAATTTATTTGCTGCCTTTATCGCTCTCCCTCGGACCATAACTTGGATGACCTTCTTGAATACCTCGCCGTCAAAATCGACTTCCTGAACATCAATCACCCCGCTTCAGTTGTAGTTCTCCTCGGTGATTTCAATGACCATATTTTGCTTTAGTTGGGCTCAAACAAGACCGATGCAGCAGGTCGTGCAGTTGAAGCGTCCGCTCTTACTCAACGGCTGACCGGGCTGGATCTCTTACAGCACAATTGTCTTGTCCCCCCTTGGGTAACTCAGACCACTGTGTTGCGGTGGTTAGGTTTCAGTCACAACCCGCTGTGGCAGCAGAAACAGGCACATGCCGCAAAATTTGGCATTACGGACATGCCGACTGGGACGGGCTCAGAGACTTCTTCTATACCTTTCCTTGGAGAAGTGACTGCTTCACCGACGCGGATCCCTCATACAGTAAAAATGCCTAAACCAGGGTCCAACGGCTGGTCTAACAAATCGTGTGACACTGCTCACCAGCAGAAGATCAAAGCACACAGAACCTTCTTACAAAACCCCTCTGTGGAGAACACATAAGCCCGACGTCGAGTCCACAAACAAATATAACGAAGCGGTTCGCAATGCCAAAAACCAGCACACTTAAGAGTTAGGCACAGGGTAATGTCACAGCGCAATGGCAGTCGGTCTTTTTGGACGCTGGCCAAGCAGATTGAAAAAAACTTTTCACACAGTAGCCTTCCACTTCCACCACTTACGTGTCAGGATGGAACGATTGTATCGGACTCAAAGGCCAAGGCGGAAGTGCTTGCCAAGATCTTTGCAGCCAACTCCACCATGGTCGTCCCCTCTACCGCTGAGCTGAAAAAAAGAAGACTAGCGACGACTTCCTCTATGACGAGAAACCTGGAGGTTATCACTGGGGACGCAACAATTTTGTAAAGTTTAATGCTTCCAAAACACAGTACTGTACCTAGACGATCAGAAAGCGTCCTAAAGCTCATCCACATTCGATGGATGGCCGAGTTCTGCAAAAGATCCATGTATTTCGACAGGTCGGAGACCAGATCACCGAGGACCGGATCTGGCACGAACTCATCTCGTCAATAGCGGCAACTGCTGGGAAAAAGTTAGGCTATTTGTTTAGGGCTAAGAAGTACTTTTCCCCGCTTGACCTTCTCACCCTATACAGGCCCAGATAAGGCCTATCCTTGCTAGTATTGCTCACAGGTTTGGGGTGCTGCCGCCCCGACTACATCATTTATGCTCGATGCTGACCAGACGAGGGCTGTCCGACTGATGGATGACTCTTCTCTAACGGACAGTCTCGGAACCCTTTCGCACCGGCGATCTAGCTCTCTTCTACCGCTACACAGACCGACCCGCCTGACTTTGACCTCCCATCCTAACCGTGTCGAACTTCGTACATCCAGAACTGGCCGATACGACCGCTCCTTTATCCCGAGGGTGTCGAGATTGTGGAAAAATCCACAAGAGGGAGCTTTTCCCAGTTCTACTAACCTCGGCTTAACAAAATTCTTTGGGATCATCGTAGCAGCCGTGGTGTTCCGGCATTTAGGCTTCTGCCTGCGCGGCTGCTTCGGTATAAAAAGAATAATAATTGGCTATACCTATTGATATTTTTATCACCTGATGATATAATAGAAGTGCTTAAGTGTGTCAGTATTTGCACCATTTACTTGATTTCTTTAATGGGCAATTCCAAGTCTTAATCCTTAAGCTTAGCACAAACTAGTAGACCCTGTTGCGCAATTTGTCTATAGGCAGTCTGGAGAGGGTCTCAAGACACGATCTATAGATGGTCTATAGACATCCTTCTTTGTCTTGTCTAGCGTCCATACGATAATGTGAATTTTTTGGTTTCATGTTCGTTTTCGCACTCAAAGACGTTGTTTTGTGTGGAATGGACTGGGATATGTGTCGGGGTCCCTCAGAATGTTTTATTTATTTATTTTCGGTTAACAGAGCAATAGAGTTTATGTTTCAATCTTTAATATTATTACAGTAGTTAATTATTAATACCACATACTTATTTTGTTCTCTTATAATAAAATATTGGCTTTCTGAGGATTTCTGAGCAATTTCATGTTTTTTTTTTTTGAAGCTGGCCTTGACCAGATAGAACACAATGGATTTAAGGATAATAGGATAAATTCTAGAAGTTCCACTGAGGTTAAAAAATTACCAGCCCCAACTATCCGCCCTTGAAGTCTGTTGTCGTTTCACAGAGTTATTTAGAATTTTCACCACTGAAAAGTTGATGAAAACGTAACATATTGGTGAAAAAAAACTTCTGGGGCCAACGTATTACTATATCCTAAAAAAATCAATATCAAATCGAGTTCATATGATATCATGGCTTGGTTTAACGAGTCATGTTTTTTTTTGTTTGGGTACCTTGCGAAATTTGCTCCAAATCTGGAAAATGAAACAAGTCTCATAAGGAAACTTGTTAATGAGAAGAATGAATGGTATTAGGGAAGGGGTGCAGAAAGCTGGATTTAGCCGCTTGTCTCTTCAGCAACAACATTGTGTTATTCTGATCCAAAGAAAACTACCACATTGTCTGCAGATGCAAGCCCCTGTGTAATATGAGCTGTTATTTTGCAGGATCATTGTCCACTTAATTTTGGGTCAGTTTTTATATAGAAGGAATTGTTAGCGCTGGTTTTTGCTTGCAAAAGATTTTTGTTTTACCTGTGATATCTTTTCAAGTTGAAACTGATTGTCTCCCTAAATTGAACATACAATGCCACAACTGTTTTTATCAATTGACTGCAAGCCTTTTGTCGTAGCAAAATGCGGTTCGAACTCTCAAGAATATAATGCCATTATAAAACCGCTTGATATAATTTTCTCTAGTTTACGGTCTATTTTCGGCTAGTTAGTCTGATTTAAAAATATTAACAAATATTTAAGGAGAAACCAGTGATAATACCAGAGAGACCAAAAGAACGAGGAATGCCGAATGTTCCAGATTTTGTTAGAAATGTCATGGGATCTAGTGCTGGGGCAGGTTCAGGGGAATTCCATGTTTATCGACACTTGAGACGTAAGGAATTTGCTCGCCAGAAGTACATGCAGGAACGAGCTGAGAAGGTAACTTAAATTCACATTCACCCCAAAGCAAAATAGTATCAATAAAGTGTAGGTGAACATACACGAATCAGTGGTATTAGTTTAATGCTATACACGTGCTTGGTACTAACATAGAAGCACACACATATTGCCAGAACGTAATATCTGGTGCCCTTGTAATTATCAACTGCTTGGCTCCAAAAGATTAACATGTGTATGAGTGTAATATATCCGTAGCATCACAGCTCCCAAACAAATGATTTTGATTTTCCTTTTTTAGTTTAATAGGTAATCTAATCAAAAGAGTTCTTAGCCGTGGCACAAAATATGGTGGGTAAATCTATATATCCAGAGCATAAGTAAACTGAAGTTTATTACTAGAACAGTTAAATTTGTATGGCGTTTCAGGAAATGTGTAAAAATATACCTTACAAATTTTCATTAAGATCTTTTTTAGTAGAATCAGTGAATGACTGTATCACATGCTTTGCATACAATACTAATCTACATGCAGGAGGAAAGATTTTTGATCTTATGGGAGTGATAAGAAGCCTAAAAACGGATACAAAAGGCGTAGATGGTATATCTCTGATAAGGTTGAAACTATACCTACCAGCAATTCTCCATTACATCAAGCACATTGTTGATGAATGCTTAAAAAGTGGTTATTTTCCGAAATCTTGGAAGAGAGCACTAGTTGTACCAGTACCTAAAAAAGCCCAGCCAATTGAGTTAGATGACCTTAGACCAATTTGTTATATCTATAATCTGGAAAAGATAGTAAATTCACAAATGACCTCATACCTTAAAAACAGCATCACTTCAGATACGCAATCTGTTTTTAGAAAAAATTATGGCATAACTGCTGCTCTACTCAATAAGCAGGACAACATTCTACAAACCTGGATAAAAAGATGGCAGTAATTATAGATTATTCGAAGGCATTTGACAGTACCATGAATTTTTATTTTGGAAAAACTTACTTACATAGGTCTTGATAAATTGTCTGTAAAATTTTCCAATATACATGTTCTGTTAAGTAAACAGTCATAATCATCTTTATCATTATCATTATTATTCTTATTTGTATAATATTAAACACAGAAGACAAGAGTAATAAATTTTAGAACAACACAGATTAATGCTATTGTAGCGTTTTTCTGTGTTCTTTTGGGTGTGGATTAAAACACTGGATTCCACAAAAAGAAATGCACTAATTTATTCAACTTGACTAGCTATTTATGCTATTTATGTATACCACTATTTATGTCTAACTAATTCTTATGTCGCGCCATTGACTGAACTACACCCCGCTCTGCTCTACTCTACTCTACTCTGCCTCCCTCTCCCTGGCGCCGAGTTATATAGTCCGCATTGTTGATTCGAGAAGATTCCGGTGAGCCACATAGCGGCATTCCAGAATCGTTTGCGTCGATCTAGAAGGCGAGTCACTGGCACGGTCCTCATGTCGCCAAGCAGCATCATGTGCGGTCGCGATCCGCGTAAAAACAGAGATCGGCCATGAACCTCTGGCGAGTAGGAGAGTCTGGCGCGTTCCCCAACAGATGGTGCCAACAGTACTATTCATTCTTGTTACACTATCATACAGATGAAAATAAAACTAGATAAGACCTTTAAAATAGCAGATCAAACAAAGTCTCTTGGTGTGCACCTTGATGAATTTTTAGACTAAAAAAGTCATATAAAAGTTTTATCTCAGAGGCCGAATAACATATGCTATGGGACCAGAGTCGTTGGGAAATATATAACTGAGGAAACTTTGAAAATAATTTATTTTGCCAATTTTGAGTCTTTTATAAAATATGGGATAATTTTTTGGGGTTCTTGCGGTTTGACAAATAACATTGTAATTCAAAAAAGAGTAATTATTATTATTATTAAAGGTGTGGGATTTAATCACTGCTATAGAGTTGTTTTCAAATAATCTAGAATATACAGGGTGTTCCATAATTATTGCGACAAAATGATAGGGGTTGTAGAGGGCATCAAAATGAACAATTTTTCCTTATAAACCCCTGTTCGGAAACATGCCGTTTGGGCTGCAGCAAAAAAAAAGATCAGTTTCTTGAAACAGCTTACCTACAGTAATTGCTCAAAGTGTCCTCCACCTTGCTCAATACACACCTGTGCACGATTGTTCAATGATCGGCGAACTCTGTGGCATACCCCCGGTATGTCCTGAACATGTGCGGACGTGGCCATCACTCTTCCCAGTAGCTCTTGTTGGTTGGGAACAGGAGTTTCGTACACTAAAGCTTTCAGATAGCTCCAGATAAAATAATCCAGTGGAGTCAGGTCAAGTGACCGCGCAGGCCAAGGCACAGGGCCACCTCGGCCTATCCACCTATTTGGAAATTTGTCGTCCAAATACTGCCGCACTTGTAAAGAAAAGTGGGCTGGACCGCCATGGTGTTGAAACCACATGTTGGCTCTTATATTCCGTGGCACATTTTCTAATAGTTCCGGTAGCACATGCTGTAAGGATCGACCATAAGCATGCCCATCCAAACGTGGTGGAAGCAGATATGGCCCGATGATATGCTCGTCCACAATGCCGCACCAGATGTTAATTGAAAACTGATGTTGGTCTCTATGGATGGCTATGGCATGAGGGTTTTCTTCATCCCAAATGTGACTGTTACGGCTATTAAAATAACCGTCCTTTGTAAAACAGGACTCGTCAGTGAACAAAACGTAGCGACCAAAGTTTGGTTGCCTCAACTCCTGCTGCAGCCACCAACGACAAAAACGTCGACGCGGCAGATAGTCTGCTGGACCCATGGCTTGGACTTTTAAAAGGTGGTACGGGTGTACGATAACAAAAGTGTAAACACAGCAGGCTTTTTCTACAAACCGCGAGACCATGAAATGTGCTAGACGAACATTTTGCAGCTGGTGAATTTTTTGTTTCTCCTATGAGCTCTTAAGGTAAAATTAACTGTAGTGCTCAAACGGCATATTTACGAACAGGGGTTTATAAGGCAAAATTGCATATTTTTATGCCCTCTACAACCCCTATCATTTTGTCGCAATAATTATGGAACACCCTGTATATTCTTTATGGAATTTATATCTATGAATGCCTTATGTACTTTTCCAAAAATAGGGACAGGTTAAATTTACAGACTTTTCATGGATAGAATACCTGTACATAGTAGATGGACACTGCTCAACCGATTGTCAGATGATTTGAAAGCTAGAGGTTGTATTAAGAAGACTAAATCTGAAATTGTTGATTTGAAACCTTACTCATTGCTGGATTATATATGAGATAGTATATTGATCTCTGTTCCTTTCTTCTTTTGTTGACGCAATTTCGTTTTTAATTGGAATGTTTCCCTTTGTATTGTAACAATCGGAAATATAAATGTTTATTTTCAATTTTCGGCTTGAACTTCTCCAATTAAATACTAATACAATAGGACTACTAGGTTGAAAATGTTACATCATATCTATTTTGTAGGAAAAGCTTCAGGAGGAATACCATATAAAGTTACAGGAGAATAAAAGGCGGGCAGAGGAAAGGACTGCAAAGAAGAGATTGAAGAGGTTGAAAAAGAAACAAAAACAAAAAAAGAAGATAAAGTGTAATGAAAATAAAACTAAGCTGAATGAATCATCTTCAGAAATAAGCGAGAGCTCTGATGAAGAAAAATCTGTTTCATCTAGTGCAGATGCTGGTGGTAGTAGTACAGTACAAGATTTTTATAATAGTGCACCGTCAGACTCGGATTATGTAGGCCAGAAGGTAGACAAACTAAAGGAAACCACTGATACAGTCACAGACATTTCTAATGCAGGTTCAGGTTCTATATCAGATTGTCAAGTTGAGATAACAAATACAAATAATGTACCATGTGTTGATAAGGCAGATAGAAAGTGAATAACTTTGTGTTGAGCTATAAGTCACATTTTAAAACAGGCTCAGTAGAGATTTTTTCGCAAGATCCCTTAGTGAACGGAGCGGGAAAAGATGGAAATTCCCCTTCCTTTCGAAGTTTTGACAGGTTCAAGTTACACCGGGAGTGGTTAGATGGCGCATGTTGCGCAAAATGTTTGCTTTAAGCTTCTTGGTAAAACTAGCTGCCTTCTTTGAATCTGAAATAAACAGACCCATCGTTTTTTGTGCAATGTACAAATATATCAATAAAATCAACCATTTGATATGACAAGTCCGGCTCCTATATCTTCGATGACCTCCCACGTCATTTAAAATCAGGTGGACGTGTTCCTCCATTTATGATTTAATAATTTAACTCAATTTTTGGCACTGCACAGACAAATTTTTAATTGAGATGTCTGATTTTTAAATGACTTTGACATAAGATCTGTCACTCGCTAGTACCTCACCGACGTTAGGCAGTTACCCGTCTTCCTCTATTCCCGTTCTTCGCGAAAATTTGAGTATTAGGTCCCGGTAGTGCACTGTGCTATACCGTGAACTCGCGAAAAAATCCGTTTTTAATATTTTTTTCCATTATTTTACTTCTCACGCCTACTTGGGAGGAAAAAATCGAAATTGAGATATTGTTTTTTTGGATGTTATATGACGTGTACTTCTCGAAAAAACATGTTACACATTTCCATCAGTCTGTCTGTCGATCTGTCCGCAAATCCTTGGTCTATAACTTGAAAAGCACTGTGGTGTGTTTGCAAATCACTTGTAATATAATACCGTACACAGTAATGGAATGTAGATTGACAGATGAAATGTTGCTATGTGAACCTATTTTTAGAACGCCTAAACTCATGTAATGTCACTTGATGACAGCAGACTAATTTCGAACAACTTTTTCTGGGACTATTGTATTTGTTATAAGAAACGCTGTGATCACGGGGTAAATCATAGAAAAAATAAGGTTTGCCAATTTTTTTACTTTTTGATAACCAAAAAAAGTAATCAATGCACCATGAAAATGACAAGTGACAGCACTCTTATTCTCAAGGCTTTGGACACGGAAAGAAAAGCGCACTTTTGACGTTTCAGAACGATTACTTTGTTATAATTCTGGACGCATGGAACATGTACGTACGTCAAACCATTTACGAACTCAGCCCTGGTGGGATGAAATTTTTAGACAAAGTTACTACTATGCCAAGGACAAAAAGCCAAAGACTAAAGAAATACAAATTGGTCAAACCTCGTTTTTTTGACGTTTCAGATGATCCTGAGCTGCTTTCCGGTGGTTTTTGGTTTGAGAGTGATACACTTCCGAACTGCTCCAAGAGCAATGCATGAGAATACAATGTGCACTGGGACGATATTGGTGTTGATCGCTACTGAGTTACTCAGAGTAACTCGACGGGGAAAGCAGCTCTGAATATTTTTTTTTTTTGGTAAAGCAGTTGATAAAACCTACGTCTTTTTGATGCAATTGCACCACATGGAAAATTGTTCTGTAAGTTGTTTCGAAGGCGTGGGAAGTATAGAGTCAATCTACTTGACGCCATTTTTTATAGATGGTCATTATGAGTATTAAAAATAATAAAAGCAACCTTAATTATTAGGATTGTCTTATTTGCATTTCTCGCACTTTCCCAATAATTGTTGAGTGACTTCACAGTGGCGAATGCGTGCCGGCGAAACTTCTGTTTGCTTATAGCGTTTTCTTTTGGTAAAACCGTTTTTGCACAATTTACGATCTTCTGATAAAACCGGTGTATTTATTGTACCTTTGGTTCTTATTTTAAACTATAAAAAAGTGTATTTACACCCAAGATAGAATGGATGCGTGATTGCCAAAAGCAAGGACGGCGTACAGGGCCGCATTCAGGGCTACCTCCGAATGATGGACTACCACCTTCGTGTTGTAAAACAAAGATGACAGTATTTAACAGAAACTTAACAAATTACTCAAATACACTTAACAACAACAACAGCAACAACCAAGCAAGGTGAATACGAAAACACGAGCACGCAGTGATACACGCGACGGACGGTGGCCTGAGTGCAACTCTGCCTGCCCTGCCCCTGCCCCGCGCATTATTCCGCCAGGCGGCCTCTTGAAATTTAATGGCGAATTGACCAATAAGATTCGTTGTCCCCACCTGTTACCGGGAGATCACGCGCTAACTGTTATTATTTACATCTCATCTAGAATTTGGATTCAGTTTAGTATTGCATGCCGTGCAGAAATATCGCACGATCTGGCGAAATTTCTCCAGACTTGGCAACACTGTAACCTGATTGTTTCCAGCAATGGACAAATCCATGGAATATTGGTATATACTTTAATTCACCGGTCGATTCCATAACTGATGGATCCGGTGAACTTATGGTTGACAGCTCATGTGATGACGTCAGCAACCGGTTCCGATGAATGGTGGTTAATAAAAAGACGCATTTTTATGTAGCTTTCAGGTTGCTGTCATATGAGAAAACCTAACCTTTGTTTTATAGTGAGTTGTTAATTTGAACACCGTATCATTTAAAATCATTATGGAAATGCACGCAGCAGTTGGTATCGTCGTGGAACGTTTGTTAAGCGATTCGAGTGATGATTCGGATGAAGAAGTTTTCCAGTGGAAGAGAATTTGCGCTTCGAGAATCAATAAAGAACCATAAATCAGAAAAGCAAGAAATTTTCAGATATGCATAATTCAAAATAAAATCCCTTGGCTCCAGATGCTCTGTTTATTTCGAATTGTGTTAAAAATACATCAAATTTCACGCCACTCCTATGCTGTAGAATAACTTCAATCTTTTCTTCTTCCATTTTTTCACACAAAACTAGTTGTAAAAAAATGATAAAATGTAGAGGTTAGAATATCGTGGATCAACAGAGCCCGAACGTCGGTGGATGCTGTTGGCACCGGTGGCATATCCACCATTAATATAAAGTTTGATGTCCAACGGTCGTTCCAGCGGAAATTAAAGGACGCAAAATTGGCTAACCGGTTGCACCGGCAGCTCAACCGGTGAATTAAAGAATATATCTTATATGTCAGTTCTCTGCGCTGCCAACCACACAACAAACTATTGCTAGAAACATTTTCAGCTTTTGCGAATCTCATAACCGTATTGTTGGATACTGTATTGCTATCAAAGTTCTATACTTGAATTGAAAAGCTGCTCAATAATAATGGAAAGGAAAAAAAGCTTGGCACCATGTAATTTGACGACCAACTTGACAAAAATTAGAACAATTTTGTGAGGAAATCCACGAAGAACTGCATGGATTTATTTGACGACAAATTTCTATTTTACACTTTAAATTTGACCATTAACTTGTCAATTCATGGAGAAATTCGTGGATTTATTGTCAATGTAAAATGGGTATTATACTTTTAAAACTTGACAATGAACTCAATTTATGAAGAAATCAGTGGATTTATTGTCGATGGTATTGCCAAAAATGGTTTGAAATTGAAACAACATGACCTGGATGATCCGATGTTTATTACTAGGATAGAAAAGGCATTGGTGAAACAGAGTTCATTGAGGAGTTAGTGAGATTGAAACTGGATATTTGCTGTTATTCTAGTGATACATTTATTTTCAAAACTCATGAAAAATTCTGTGTCATTTTTGAACGTGCCACCTTTTACTTTGCCCAACTCATTAAATAAATTGCAAACAAGGTCATAACCATGTTTTTCAACCCCATACAATATCTTTTGTTTACATTTTCCATCACTGAGCTATTGAGTTCTTGATCTTTTCTCGTAGTCATCAGCCCTGTTTAGTGCTTCGCTTTTCTTCTATTTGTATTACTACACTATGGTGAAATTGGTAATTCTCTAGGTTGTAAATGATGGAAATGAGATTAATAATGCGCGCAAATGGGTTAGTTGCTTCTTTGCACGGTTTGTATATTTTTACATACTGATGCTGTAAAATTCTTATTTGTTCTTAGTTCTCTATCTCATCTTTTTTTGCCACGGTGTTTTTCCGGCTCCCAAAATTAGGCATGTTTGTTGATTTAATGTACCGAACTTATTGATCTTCCCTCGTGTATCAGTGTACTTCTGGTTGCGACAGGGTTGTTACGTAAAAAAACCTATATTATAATGTCAAAAAACGACAAAGTCATCTTGCTTACTAGATAGTTAGTTCCTAGTGTGAAAATAGTTCGTTCCTCTATTGAGCGTCATCTATGGACGAATGATTCAACGACGCGATACCCTCAAATGACCATGCTGCCATTTAGTATTAGTTCCCCAGTCAGCTTTATTGGTTGCAGAATGCTGGCAGAGTCATCGATGTGGCAGAAAGAAAATTGGTTATGAAGCAAGATCGCATCTGGATGATTGTGTGTATGCTTTATTTCACGAGAACAGCTGATCAGCAAGTTACATTTTTGTGGTACTCTGCAACGTCGGCAATAATGAATCGGGTATAAATCTGGTAAATTTTGTAGCGTTTTGTTTTTTGTATGCAAATGAACTTTTCTAAATAAAACAGCTGTTAGCAAGTACAAAATGAATCTGTAGCGTACAAAAAACCAAAACAAAATACGGCTCTGACTATCTGGCGTTAACGGATCCGTCAGAATTATGTGTCCTGTGCCAATATGGGGAATTTTGAGATATTACTAGACAATCAGCTGTCATTCTACCGTGATGGCTACTCGTGAAATAGGGTATAATGGACTGGGGATGTGTATAGAATCAGTGATATTTGCCGTATGATAAAATTATTACTGAATATGCTTTATACTGCCCGTGAACTATATCTATTAGCTGTACCAGACGGGTTATTTCTATTGTCATTTCTGAAGAGAGGTTATGTTCAAAGTTACAAATCACAATTTTTCCCAGTTTTTTGCGTTTCCAAAAACTTTGATTACCGAAAATCACCACCGCGCCCGCGTTGTGAAATGGAATGACGCAGCACAGACAAAACATTTTCGCATTGGCTCACATCTAGGCGCTGATTTGAACTTTTCTACTTGACATCCCAACATATATAAAATTTAAATGACTGGAAATGAAACAATGTAAAATGTAATAACTTTTTCACGTTTCATAAATATACCTGTCTGTGACGTATTTTCTCACCAACCAAGGATTCTCTATTCTTATCTTTCTTATTTTTTAAATTCAGCAAATTTGCATATGTATGTAATTTCTAGCTATGCATACATCTCAAGTAAGTGTATTTGAGGCAAGAAACCAGAGGAATTTTTATCAACACAGCTTATTAGCACAAATCCTCACTATGTACCTACTGCCATTTCCTTCCAGCTATAGTATACACAGCTTACAGCTTTGACCTTCAATAACTCCATCTCCATCAGATGTTAGGCTGAAGTATACTTTAGCGCATATGGCAAATATTTTATTGCTTATTTTAAAATGAAAGATTAGAATGTAACTTGCATGACAATATCATTTTTTTCTTTAATGAACCCTCTGCTTGTTATTTTATAGAACTTCAAAGTTGCATTTTGGGTGCTAATACTGTGGTATAGAATACTGCTTTATAAGCTGTTTTCTTCTTGTTTATACAGAAGATTGTTCAAAATTATATGAATATAACATACACTGTAAGTTACTGTAACTTTGTTCATCGCAATAATGCAATTTTGCATTATTGTAATGATGAAAATAGTTCATTTTTAAGTAGTAATTTCTTTCATTTCAGATAATTATTCCCATCACTACACCACCGTCATTGTCATACTTTCTCCATCTAGTTGCGATGTTGCCAAATCATGGATAGTAATATACCTTAATTTGGTTTGTCAAATTCTTATATACTTGCGAAAAAATGTGCAATCAGCACAGGACTGTCATGAAAATGCGATTTGGAGGTGTGGCCGGCAGGTTTTACTGTACTAAATCCGACTTGTGCCCTACGATAGCGTTAGCTAAAGAGACTTTTTGAAGAATGCCTTATGCCCTTCACAAAAGTACTTCGGTTATTGTTTTTCCTATATTCTAGTCATAATCTATTTACTTTTTGTGTGTATGTACTTGAAGAAATATTTAAAGTGAAGCTGATGTTACAAAATATACCTAATTAAATGTGATATATATGAGAAATAACTGAAAAAGTAGCTGTTGCAAATCACTAAATAATGAAAACAAAACGGAACATTGCAAGTGTTTTGAAGATTTGATGAAATGATCGTTGATCTTTATTTAACTATAATGTTGGACGATGATATGTTGGGTGGACCTGGCGAGGTAGTCCAAATCGACGTTGGGTATTTTTATATGCAATGACCGCAGGTGCATTTTCAACTGTTTAGACTCATATTGTTCAAAATTTCATCTAGTTTTCGGTAAATATTGGCACAACTTTTCATAAAACAAGCCATTTACAATAAATTAAGACTTTTATTTTGCAAATAACCTCATTTCTAATTATGTTTTCTCCCAAAAAAGGTACAACTTGGCAACAATGGACATCATTTATTTTATCTGTCAAGAAATGAGCGTTATAAAATGGCCATTGAGAATTGTTTGTACTTTCAAATATTTCTTATAAAAGCAAAAACTTCGCTCTCATTGAAAATACGCGAAAAAAAAAATGGTTAAGGAATTTCAATAAGACATTGAA